TATATGAACCAAAGTTACAACATTAAGTTTCGAATTAGAACAGTAAAAATACAAAAATGTACAAAACATATTTTTGTCCAAACTAACTTTCAAAGCAATTCAATGATTTCCTCATTGCTTCCAAACAAAAATAGGCACAGAATTTCTGAACTCATATTCGGAAAGAGCATTAAATTCTGATTCTTGTCCACCTTTTTGCATCCTTCTAGAATACTTCTGATGTGGTGAAAAATGGACAAACATTTTGTCTCAAAACTTTCGGCCCACCCGTTATCACCTACTTGTATTTTAGAATTCAATGGATTTTCAAATACTGTACATGCGCATGAGAAGAAATAATAAACCATATATATTAACCGATATTCAAACAAAAACTTTGTAATTCAATCGGTGATTTAAATGTTTATAGAAAATTATCTAAACCAATTACCAATGCATCTGATCAGACAATCAAGATCTATTATTCTTATCTTAACAGTAGCTTATAGTTTTTAACTGCTATTAAAATGAAACAAAGGAATAGCTGGTTATCAACAAACAGCTATAGTACTTATTACATTTCTTTCAACGTACATATTATTGAATATAAAAATCATATAATATCTAATGTACCAATGACGATATACATCATACAGTATTATTTCTATCAATAATCATATTTTTCATAGAATGATAAATAAGAAAATTAGACAACAATTGAGAAAGTACAAGAAAATAAAGTACACGATCACAAATTATGGAAATACACAATGACATTAAACAAAAAAGAAACAATGAGCAAATTTTGATAATAACATAAATAAGAATAGATTAACAATTTTGATTTTGAAACATACAAAAATCTTATTTATGTAATTGTTTTACAATTAAGAAGAACATTGGTAATACAATTACTAAGGAGCTGTATTTCCACAGGTGTTGCCTAATAAATTTCGTTGCTGGAATAGTTGAATGTTTTCCATTAGTATCAATTTTTTTTATTGCCATTAATTCTTGTTCGAGAGTTTTATTTTTGGCTTCCAGTTCTTCTTTTTCCTTTACAAATTTTTTCTCTTTTTCTTCAATTGACTTTGCGTGGTCAGCAACTAATTGTTCAATTTCTTTAATTAACGTTTCTTTATCTTCATTTAGTTTTGTTTTCTCCTGAATTAAGTTCCTGTTGGTTTCATTCAACTCTTTAATCTTTTCATTGAGTTTATTATTTTCTTCGATAAGATTTTGTGTTTGGTTCATTAAGGCTTGTACATCATTTATAACGTCTGTTAGTTTCTTTTTACCATTCAAGTCATCCTGAAACAAAATAATTGGAGTTATTTTTTTTTGTACCGCTAAAACAATTCTAATTATCATTGTTTATGGACGAAAAAAACAATTTACAGATAACAACAGACGATCAATACTACCCTAGTGAAAGTACTCATGCTAGAAAATTCCGCGAGTACTCATGAGTGCTCGGTATTTTTGAGTACTCGTCGGTCGTACTCACGATGAGTTTCGAGTATATGAGTACTACACATCTATACTTGTGTGGCAGTGTATTATAGTCAAGTACTACAACCGTTCATTTCTTATAGTTAGTGGCAACTAGACTATTTAAAGTTCCAGTTGGTTGCCCTTCGAGAAGCTTCGTAGACTTTGAACAAGTCCGCTTCTCTGCAACATCACAGTCACAGAAGGAAGTTATTCTGTTAAAATTATTACTTACCGCCCATCGAAAGTCAGCGCACGACATCGTTTTCGTCCTTACACATTTTATTCTGTATATTGAGTCTTTTCAGAAAAAAAGACGACGAGTACTACAATGAGTACTCAGCGTCTTGCCTATGAGTAGATGTGTAGTGAAAGTTTCGTATAAGTACATATTTGAGTACTCGTTCATTTTACATACTCATGAATTTTTGAAAGTACTTGCTCGAGTAATTTGTGTACTCATGCTGGCAAGTCGTACTCTCTGGATGAGTACATTCACTAGGGTAGATTTTAAAAATGTACGCATTAAAGTTAGACGATTAGATAAGTACTTACTATTGAATTTTGCTTGCACATTATACTTGGCCTAGTAAGAGTCGATATATCTAAAACAACAACAGGAGATATATATATATACAAATGTCAGGGACGAAATGGACAAAGAAAAACAAAGAAACAAGGAGCGTATATGTGAACAGACTGACATTAGTACTGTTTTCGTCTAGCCTATTCATTGCTTTTACTTTTCTTTTGAATAAAAATTGGATAAACAATAAATCGTAACCATTGTTCAGGAAAATTAAGCTTATAACACTGGTCAGCAGTTACAGCTACATATAGAAAATTGATTGTGCACTTCAGTGTTTATGCTATTGTTTATTTTTGCAAGTCAAACATATTGAGTTTCATGCATGCATGTAATGTTTCTGAAATGGCAGGTGTACTAAATAGAATCGAAACATCCAGAACATGTGTTGGTTCCAAGATATACATTTTTTTATAGTTTATTTAAAAAAATAGAATGTATATATTACACTTTGCTGAATAAAATAAAACTTTATGTTCAAAATATTTTAATTTTTAAAGGAAAAAATAACGCATCTAATTTATTCAGTTTTTTTAGAATATGTTACTTCTACTTTTTAGCCTCTCTTTGAAGATATTATGAGGAAAAGAACAGAAATATATCTATCACTTATCAATGGTTTTTCATTATCGATAAGTTTTTTCTTCAACTGGTAGAAAATGAACTTTTCTTCCTTTTTTTTCAATAAGTTATTTAAAACAAGTTTTTTTTGTACACTTGTATACACTCTACTTGTAGAAGAAAAGTGTACAGAAATATTTTGTTTTGCACTTCCATTAGAAACGCTGGTTTCGTGCCATTGATTGATTATCATCCGTTTTTATAATCATTTGAGTTCATCTGCAGTACGATAAAATATAATGTCTCAATCAGTTGAAGGACAGTGAATAGCTTTAAATGGATTAATTCAAAAAATGTTACAAAAAGAATATTCAAGACATATAAAAGGTCTTCTAATCATCAAGTACTTAAATCCGGTATACAAAAAAAAAATGCTATTATGTTATAAAGTTATATCTTTTAATCATCTCGTAATGGTTTCTGATGTTCCTAATGTAGCCTTTATGAAATATCATTGTTTATTTGTCTGTCTTATTTAGCATATGATTCTCGTTTTCCGAAAGAAACAGAAGTGGACCAAACTTGATGGCATTGCAATGTCGAGACGATCCATGGCACAGGCTTGAGAGAACTCGAATGATTCTGGCCAACGTCTAAAAGTCCACTTGACAGAGTCTGACCTCAGTGAGATCAGCGTCGACGTTCAAACTGACGAGAACAAGTACTATACTTTGATCTCTGCAGATAAATATGAGGTTCCTATCTTTGGATTGTCCATATACATTCCATGTTGTTTCGATCGGAGAAAAATCCAATGTTTTCGAAATTACAATATTATTCAGCATGAGTCATGGTTCAAAAGGATGAAACCAATTACAACATGATTCCTAGTAAATCGACAGTGCATGTTTATTCTGATGGGTGTGGATGTAGGTGTAGGTGTCGCTTAAGAGAAGATTAACACCTGCACTCATATCCATCCAGCCACACCCACACCATCACATATCGTGACAGACAGCATTGCTGACCATCACAGAAGTGATAGGCGGGTTCCACTGGCGTCACTGAATGTCACCGATTTTTGATACAGGATTGATGAATATATGTCAATGATTTCTGTTGAGAGTTTGTTTGATTTTTATTTATTGGAGCTCTAGTGATTAAATGAGAAATGATGAGTGAAAGACTATCAGGTTTCATCGGACGAAACAGGATTCACATGACTGTTAAGAGCAGCTACATCGTGTTTCACATTTTTAATTCCCAAGGGATTGCCGTAACAGCTTTTTTTATATGTAGCTTTTTTTTCTTCCTTTTCTGATCTTCACCCTATACTAGTGATGTAAGGGTATAATGAACTAAGAAAACTAAAAGCAAACGCATACTGTGAACAAATAACATATAAGGGATAAAGATGGAGATAGAGAGTGAAACTACCCAGGAGGGCAAAAGACGGGTAAAAAGACTAGTTAGTTTTACTAGTCATGACGCCCCGTCACTCACTAGTCTTTTTCTCAAAACGACCTAGACATGACTAGTCTGATATTGTTGGGAGTCCGTACATCGCGTCCTGACTAATCCAGAGACGGGAGTCAGTATTTCAATATAGTCTAGTCATTTTTTGCAAAAAGGACTAGTCCAGACTAGTAATAGTTGTTGAAATAGACTAGCCATGTGGGGTCACTTTTTTAAAAGGGAATGACTAGTCAAGACACGGCAACATGACGCCAGTCTGTCACAAAAATATATGGTCTCGTATCTCCTCTTGTCGCCTCCGGACTAGTCATGACGGTCCATCATGACACCCGTCCGATATATTTAAAAATTGAAAAATATAATTGTGCATATCAATCATATTGCTAACTACATGCTACACATTACACAACTACTAGTCATTCATACCGTCTGAAATCCGTTCTTTTGTCAGTCAGATGTTGGCGTCCAGACTAGTCTAAATTATAGAAGCAAAGCGGTGAAGGTTAGATTCGAACATACATACTTTGTGTTACATACCTAGCTTGGCAAGCAGTTGAACCATACACGCTGATGTTTCATCAGTGACACATCTAGCTCTTCCTGACACGTCTTTCACACATTAATGATCAGAGAAGTTCATAATATTATTTAATAAAAATTATTAATTCATGTACTAAGAGACTATTTAATGATGTATATCAATACAAATCAAAAGTTCCAATTATTAGTTACAGGAAGCACTACTTCAGAAGATTATATTAAGAAAATTAGATTTGAGAAGTTTTTTTAAAGAAACAATTTATTTTTATTAATAATAAAAATGATTTTTATTAATAATAAAAATGATTTTTATTAATAATAAAAATGATTTTTATCTGTTAACTATTGTCTTTTAAGTTAGGATATTCTAAAACAGTAACACGATTACCAGGTTCACATATACAAGCGTTTTTTTTTTCAAAATAAATTTTGGATGCTTCAGATGGAAAATTTTTGATGGTTTTAATTGTAAAATATAAGGTATTTTATATTGATCATTAGAAATATTAAACTTAATTTTTGATGCTCCAGGTTTAATTTCCACAAGTTCTTCGATGAAAAGACGAAGGGTGTTTTTTTTTGATTGAACAATTGCTCGAATAAGACCATATTTTACTTGATCATCGGCAAAACTGAATGAGATACAACTGTCAGCAACTAATTTTCCGTAAGCAGTTACAGTAGTCTTTATTAAAACACCTGATATTATCAAAGAATGATAGAAAATTAAACCATCATTAAATAGTGATTGTACACGTGTGGCTATACCATTTTCACTTGTATCATATAAATCTTTAGATACTGGATTAGATAAAAAACATGAGTCAACAAAATTTTTATAATGAATATTTGATTGTTTTCGATCAAGTAATTCTTCATTGAATGTAAACAATATCAATGGATAAGATTCATGTTTATGAAGAACTAGAGAATCACGATATAAAATGTGTTGTCGAATAAGTTGTTTAGCAAATTCAGTTGTACCATGAACTGTGCTAACCAAATCTTTATCAATACCTATAATAAGAAAAATTAATAAAACTTTTAAAAAAAGTAAAAAGTTATATGATTACCTTCAAATGAAAATGTTAAATAAAACCATAATGGTCCCATTACACTTAAACCTTGATGTACATGTAATAAAGAATGAATATTAGAACTCATATGACGTATACCAAATATTTGTTGAAAACGTTGAACGAAATAATTTAATAATTTTTCAACAATTTCAATAGTTTCAACTGTTACATAATTCGAAGATGCAAGATTAATTGCTGATACAAATGAAAATAATAGATTTTTCAATTCATTATCATTAATATGTCGAACAAGACTTGTTAAACCAAAATGAAATAAACATCGATATTCACTTCCTTTATATTTACTAATAAATTGTAATGAACGAAATCTACGTTGTGTTGTTGATGGAGTTTGTACCAATGCTAATGATTCATCTATTTGTGTTATTTTCTTAAATAAAGACCAAGATTTATTTCGATATTCTGAATGGAATAGCCAATTAGATAAACTAGTGATTCAATCATCAATCTCAGATGTTCTATATACAATGAAATAAAAAAATTTCTTCTTTATAAATATGACCGATCAAATTAATAATATTGTTGATGAAAACTCATACAATTTATAATTTAATGAACAATAATCGTACGATAACGAAAATATGATAATAGTAATTGTTTTCATTTTTTCTGTTCTATATGATAAAAACAGTTAAAGATAGAGACAAATCGAAGTTAATGATTTTTAGCATTTCAAACTTAATAAATTTTCCTTATTAATAAAACAATTTTTATAACTGACAATCGATAAATAAACTACACCATTGTAGAATCTTTGATAATTAAACAGTCGTGTTTTTCATAATGCAAGTTTGTAACTTTGTTATTCTTAGGTTATGAATACGTACTAAGATGTATTGAATTGAAGGTGAAAAAGAGTTTTCATAAACAAGCAACTAGTGCAAACTCAAAATTACATTAAGTTTGTGTAATTAGACTAGACTTGACAAGTATTAAAGATATAACCAACTATCAATGTAAAATGTCGTACTGAATTTCGGACTAGTCTTGTTCAGACAGCATGTCATTTCTAGTAAAACATGGTAGTCTTGACTGGTGCTCAGTATCTCTCAGACTGGTCCAAACATATATTTCAAAATTCTCAGACTAGTCTAGTCCCGTCATTATACTACCTCATAAGACACTGACTAGTCCTGACGCCGACACCAAATATTTCGGACTAGACTTGACTAGTCCTGACACCGCCACCAAATATTTCGGACTAGACTTGACTAGTCCTGACACCGCCACCAAATATTTCGGACTAGACTTGACTAGTCCTCAGAATATCTCAGACTAGTCCTGACATACATATCAGAAATATTAGACTAGTCCAGTCCTGTCAGTATGTCGCTTTTTAAAATACTGACCAGTCCTGACGGTCACACTCAGTATTTTAGACTAGACAGGACCGCTGTTGCGGACGCTTTGGACTAGACATGTCGCCAGTCCTCTCTTTTTTTTGCTTGCCTGGGTATACATATATTTCTAGGATTTTGACTTGTTCGTTTTTCAACATGGATGTATTAATCACCCAAGCGTTTAAGTGAAAATTCGAATGAACCCAAAGCAGCGTTTGATGCCCTTTTATATGTAGCACATAATTTTTTGTTCTCAATGAATCCATGATAACTAAATATATCAGACATATTGCCATATTTTTCAGTCCATTCTAATTCATTTCCATTGTAAGATCCTGACCAACTAAAAAATAAGAATGAAATACATGATATTCCTATTATGACCTACCTGTGAAGCGGTTGCACAGATGATATAAGCAATCATTTACTCTGAGGTTTAATCGTCTATGTTGAAACAAGAAAACTTCTCTGGACGATTTTAAGAGTAAGAATTATATTTCTATATTTTTAGTTTCCTCTGTAATTAACTTCATAGCACATAAGGAAATACTGACCAATAATGTTGCACGAATCATCCTGAAAAATATCAGAAATTTGACATGTGATTTAGACTTTGTAGTCGATCAGCATTGTAAGTCGTTAATGACCATCGAGGCATTTGTTCAGAATACTATTCTGTGGGACAATTTCAGAAAATCTTAATCTTGAATAACAATGTTTATTCAGCGATTTGCTGCAAAAAATAAGAATTAAACGGTCCATTTCATTATTCTTGAGCAACCGTCATATGTTCAGAGGGGGGAGGGGTGTTCTGACTTTTATACTTACGCTACCGCACATGCGGTGTTGTAATTGGTTCCAGGACCATAGCAACCAGAAGCCCATAATCGTCCATTGCTTAAGCGCAACATCATGCTGGTAATATATGAATTTATCGTGTGACGTTCCACTCGGTACGTTCCATCTACTGAACTATAACGAAAAAACAATTCTGTACACAAACAAACAAAATTTTACTTGAGCTATGATGATTCTCTATCTGGTGAAAACATCTCAATTGTAGCTTTGTATTATATATCATGATACATCCATTAGTAGCTACAGAGAATATAGTATAGTATATCTTGGGTTAGAAGTTTCAAAACCCATCCATCTTTTGTGCAATGAGTATAATACTGTTCAGGACTCTACAGCTGTATTATGTTGTCTAATAAACGGATATCAAATGCAACTTAATACATTTTCATTTTTTGTGCATCAGTTTGGTCTTCACATTATTTATGATATGTGAAATTTTATTCCATCGATAATTTTTTTGTGCATTACTTTACAAATTCCCTGTAGTTTTCTGAGATGAATTCAATTCTAATAAAAATTTCTCTTGCCACCGAAAACAAATAACAACAATATTGCTTCAAAACATGAACGTTTTGATTTTTGTATATTTTTTGTTTTCAATAATCACCTGTGTGAATAATTTTCTAATAGATAGATTTTTCATTTATTGATTTGTTATTAAATGACATCAACAATTGTTTTCAAGAAATAATCAAATTAGATTGTTGTGGACTCTTATAAATGTATGAAGAAAACGCTAACAGAAGAATTACTCTTTATTCAAATATAAATTTAAGGTGGGCAAATAGTGCTAGCATTTTGAATATACCTCATAATTATCGTTCTTGCAGTCTTTTATTGAAGTCAATATCTATTCGAAAAGTACTTTGCTCGTCGAAGCCGTCGGTGGTTTTGTTGTCATACAAATCGAGGATTTGCACCTTAAAAATATCTCTTAATATCTATATTAAATTGAAAACTCTAAAAAATTCAAATCATAGAAAAATTTTTATTAAAGAGGAGAAAACGCGAAAAATAGATTTGCAGAAATTATAAAGCAACCATGCTTTTGTTCACACACAAGCTTCTGTTGACACAATCAATATTGAGAACGATTTCTAACAAATAAGGACACATTTTTGTTCTTGTCAATTGTTCATAACGTTAGTGTATCGTTTTATTTGTTAGAAGTTAGACTATCTAATTTTTTACCAGAGTGGAATTTTTTTTTTCTAATCGTTGTAGAATGCTCTCGCATTATCAACAATACGCGGTAAATGGTAGATTTTACTTTGGAGTTTTCCATTAAATTTCTATTTCTGTAAATCAAAAATAAAATAATATTTCATAAATCTTACCATTAGTGTAGTTAAGCAACTATAATTCATATTTTCTTCCGACCAAACATTGCAGAAAGAAAAAAAAAATGCAAGAATGTACAAAAACAAATAGGAAAACTTCAGCATCAATTCTTTTTGATGAAGGAACATGGATGTATGTTTACTGTGTTGTAGTGACAGCTATCGAGGAATTATAAGGGTGTAGGGCGGATGTGGGCGTGGGTGTGGGATGTGGGTGTGGGGTGTGAGTGTGGGTGTGGATGTGGATGAAGTAGTGGATGCAGTGAAGTAGCACACCCACACCCAATAGACTTCACACAATTGTCTAACATAGTTTGAATAATCTAGATTTCAATGATAATATAAATCTCGTATAACAATTGATGTTGCATTTGACTTTTGAAAAAAATAATAAGAACAGGAAATGCTACCACTCTTCTTACAGATTTTCAAAAACAATATGTACCTATTTGATTATAGTGTTTTCACTTTTCTGATTCTACAAATACTAGGATTTTGTAGCTGACAGAAAAGGCCATCTGACGAGTTATAACAGGAGTTGACTTAAAAAATGTTTTTGAAGGAATGGTAAATGAAACATGTTATACTATATGTAAAATCGACATAAATTTTACTTTGTGATCTTGGACTTTTTTATTGGCTCACCTTTAATAATCTTAAAAACTATAGGGTTTTGTAGCCCGTGAAAAGAGCTATCCGATAAACTGTAACAGAAGGTGGGCTATACGAATTTTTAGCAAAATGATTAATCAAATCTGCTACAGTATATGTAAAAATGGGCATAGTTTTTACTTTGATCTTGGACTTTTTTAGTGGCCCATCTTGAATAATTTTTAAAATTATAGGATTTTGTAGTCCGTGAAAAGAGCTATCTGATAAGCTATAATAGAAGGTGGCTTATACGGATTTTCAGCAAAATGATTAATCCAATATTTTATACTATATGTAAAAGTGGGCATAGTTTTCACTTTGTGATCTTGGACTTTTTTATTGCCCCGACTTTAATAATTTTAAAAACTATAGGGTTTTGTAGCCCGTGAAAAGCGATATCCGATAAACTATAATAAAAGCTGGTCTATACGAATTTTTAGCAAAATGATTAATCAAATATGCTGATAAGACCATTCAAAATCGTAGGATATCAAGTCCTCAAATGTACTTGAAACGTACCTGAAATCTGGTGTCAAAGAACTCGCCAGTTGAAGCTCTTTCATTCTATATATGATTGTGCTGGATGTAGTGTGGAACACCCAATAGACGAAATCAGGGTCTTATGTCCCTCTGTTCTTTCTTCACTATAATTTCGATGTGTATTCGACTGACATGAATAACACATTATACAAAAGACAAATTCCTACATATTGATGATGCAATATTATACTATGAAATGAAAAAGAATTGTATAAGAAAAGAATTCTGATTGTGAACAGTGTTGAACGTAAATTATAGTTTTAAGTTTTATAATGTATTTCTAATTGATATTCATTGGTTAAAATATCAGCATAAACTTTCATACAAATAAAGTAACGAAATGATGAAGTAATGAAAAGGCTTTTAAGAAGAAGAATCTATATGATAATAACGTGGATCTATTTTAGAGAAGATAAAATATCTGGATTTATTGCATTGAAAAATTGAGATTATATAATTATTCCCAGATTTGCAAGATGTTATTGATTAAATTGAGTTCAATTTTTAGTCAAAAGATCGAGTCTAAAACTAAAATATTATCATGATCGATTTCATATACAAGTCTTGATTTTTATATAATTTAAAATTTGTTTATTATCAAGCTTGAAAAATAAAAATATGAAAGTTCATCATAGCAAAAATGAGAAGGATATGTTTTCTGTTGAAAGAAGGGTTCTTCTTTCGATATCTTTGGTTTTTGTTTATACTAAAGCTATATAAAAAATATCAAATGAATAAGTTAAATAATCGTCTATATCTAGTTATCAAAGTATCCATTGATTCCAATTTAAAGAAAGTAACGTTCAGTATTAGTCACATCAATAATTATCATTTAGATTCAAAATTAATAATATCAATCTAAACTAAATTTACTTGTTATTTAAAGCTCAAGATTATGCATGAATTGAACAAACATTATACAAATGACATTTATTCATACATTTTCGTTAAAAACCAAAAGAATTGCTTCACACTCTTACGCAAGTGTATTTCGAAGGTCTTCAATATTATGAATAAGTATACAGCATTTGTCATCAATTGTCATTTATCTGCATAGCTAACATTTACTAAAAACATATGAGACCATCAAGACTCTATCAAAGTAGCAAAAGAAAACATGAAAAAAGTATTTTAATCCATATAACTCAGCGAAAACACAAAGTTTTCTTGTTTTTTTGTCAGTTGATATTTTTTTTTTATTAGTTTAGTTTTTTCTTTCGAATCTTTATAACTGATATAAATAATGATTTTTTTTTTGTGTACCTTAGAAGCGTCTAACGAATGAAGTTTTGCGTGAAAATGGCAGGTAATATGACAGAATGAAGTCATCGTGCATCTGATCGATAGAAGGAGAGAACGAAAAAAACTTACTATGAATTGAGGAGAATAAAAAAAAATCAAACGGAAGGAAGAAAAACTCGTCGCAAAATCTATGTATTGATTTGGTAGTACATTTTCTCTTTCTTTTTACTCCCGATCGTCATTATTTTTACCTATAGGCAACATGCGCAAGAGTATATGCCTTGTTATTCTCGTCAATTTTATTATTCTGGCTTTTGAAACGAGTGGTGCACAGAAACATTTTGTGCCTCGACCAGAAAGAGTTCATTTGGGTCATTTAGCATATCCACGTCGATGGGGACGTTGGTGTTCTGAAGATAGTGAATGTGGCCTTGGCTTTTGTCAAGCATACATATGTCGATGTTATTATGGTTATATTACATGGCATTTTATGGAAACTTGTGCTTATCAACAGCGAACAAAATTAACAGCTTTTCTTGTTTCATTTTTTGTTGGCACACTTGGTGTTGATTGGTTTGTGTTATCAAGAGGTAATGCTGGATATATTGTAGCTGGCATTATTAAATTACTTATTTCATTGGGATGTTTTATTGGATGGCCACTTCTTTTTGTTAGTAGATCGAAAAAGTCACGTAAATATATTGCCATTAGTAGTTTTATCAATGCTGTTCTTACTACAGCGTCTGTTGTATGGTGGTTAACGGATTGGATTCGTATTCTAGCTGATGCATTTTATGATGGTAACGGAGCACCTTTACAAAGATGGGGTTATGATTATTATAACAGAATCCCATATCGCGTGTAAATAAAATGCACATATAAAGGAAATTGTGATTAAATCTTTGTTTAAAAAGAAAAATGTGTGCTAAAATGCTTTTTTTTGTTCCATTTCTATTATTGAATTTGATAAATTTTATCAGAAGAAATTCTTGTATTTTTAATGCTTTGTAAATTGGATTCTTTCATAAAATTAGAACGAAACATATGATGAATAGTTAAACAATCTAATCAAATGTTTTGTCAAAAGAAATATTTTATTTGTTTGTGTATATTAGATTAAAACTTCCCCGTGGTTAATGATGGATATTATGACGCGAATACTCAAAAAGAAAAAAGGTTTTTTTTCAATAGGTATTGTTTAGCAAAAATGATAGGAAGATATTGACTTTTTAAAGAGTATTCATGATTGATCTATTGAAAACAGGAGGTTAGCAGTTAACTCAACGTGCATACTAAAATGAAATTACTTTCAAAAATTGAAATCTCGAATTTCAAAATTCTACTACAAGATAAATAACAGTAACTATAACGCAGAATCGAAAAACATCTTTTGATGATATTTCAAATACAACTGCATCCATCTACTGTCTTATTTACATATCTTTCAAAATAGTATTCATCGAACATTTATATATAACTTGACTGATCGATATTTTTTTTAGGAATATATACTTAATATACTTACTATTATGAAGACTTTTTGGATTTTCGTCGAGTTCATCTTAATACATTTATCATTTAATGATTCATAAAAAGTTAAAAGCTCGTTGTATTGTCTCGATAGAAAAGAAAGAATACAAAAGTTATATCTAGCTTTGAATATTTAATGGATGGTTAATGCCTTGCTGGAAAAACTAATAAGAATTTTCATTGATGGGTTATAGAATATTTGCATTTGTTTTACAAAAATATTTTTGCAATCTTTTCATTGTCGAATTCATTGAAAGACAGACATGTTTTATTTAAAGAAAAACAAAAACAATATTTCAATCTACTTTGATGTTTAATGATGAATTTCATGGTGACTATCTTCAACTTAGCTGCCAGAACAGTTCTATCTATTAATAATAAGGAGAACACACAATTTTATTTACCAACTAAAGTAAGATATTCAAGTAACACTATCATATATTTCAATAAAACAAGTTGTAATTTTAAAACGAACGATGTGTAAATATCAATGTGTGTTTATGTGATGACAGATGGACGACTTACGAAAATATCATACGAATGAATAAAAATTGTTTGCATAAACAGCGTGCGAAAACAACAGCTGTTATTATCCCTATATGTCTAGGTATTTTTGTAATCTATTGATTTTATTTTTTCAGAGAAAATAACGAATATTTTGTTATTCTTATTTTCTAGCTATTCATTTTCTATGGATGTTGCGGTGAATAACTTTTTCTTATCTTAAATACATATAGACTTTCGAGTATAATGGACATCATCGGTTTTATTGTCAGCATATTGTTCAGTTTAGTTTTCTGAGCTTAGTGGATCATTCTGATTAGGAACGTATCTTAGCAAAAAAAATTTTCAGCAGATTATAACATCAAACTTAAGCATTATTTCTGAGGCTCTCGAACACATCTCTATATAAGACTAGTCATGACAACAATAGTGATTCAATAACAAATACTTGACTTGAACATAAGTTCTATCCATATACAAGAGAAAATTTGTGCATTGTTTTTTTGTTTCATATCAAACAAGGTCGATTTAAACTTTTTCAATACATATATCTCAACATAACAGACTCAAATGTAAACTTTACAAGGTATGTGAAAATTTGATTTCTATTCCTTCAAAAAAAAATTCTATACATAAAAAGTATAAGCATGATTCTTTAGATTCAAGCACGTATTGTAGAAACAAATACCATTCTTGTAAAAAAACCTTTTATCAAAATGTAAATACTATTCTAAAAACAAAATAGCGATAATCTTTGACCAACTTCTATGTGTTAAGATACGTTTATGATTAATTGTTAATGAGATGATGCTCATTAATAATTATAGAAAAAAGAAATTTTACTTTGAAATCGTGTTGAAGGTTGAATTTGGTTGATGGCTTATTGATTAAGTAATGTTTGAAACTAACAAATACAATTGTTATTGGATGTATCACGAAGCAAAATAATAAAATTGAGACGGGAATTCTAACACGTACTCAATGCATTCCTTTTTACCTATGTTTATCTATTATTCTTAGTTATTTCTAACTATTCTTGTTCTCTGTTATTTTCGTTCTATTCTTAAAACATTTTTCATGCATATCTATTGGTGATATATAACTTGTAATAGAATATAATAGCATTACTCTTAAAATTCAACGAGAAGAAGAATCGCACGTATAATAACCATTAAGATGTCTCGATATTTGACTGTTTATCGTCCCGTTCCTGGATCAAACTTCAATAATTCTACCACACGTAAGCGTATAGACTAATATAACAAAAGGAACATCCAACACAAAAACATCACACATTATACGTGGTGATTAAATATCATGGTGAAAATTCAAATTTACTTAACTCTTTCAACAATGCAATACGTACAAATTGCTTCTCTTCTCTTATTATACGTCAATCATATATACAATCACTCTTGTAGATATAATAGGGGTGAGAAGTTATTGTTATTTTTTGTTATTAATAACAATAACAATAACAAAAAAAGTTATTTGTTATTAATAACAAAAAAATAACAAATAACTTTTTTTTCCGAAAAATCTTAGTTATGCTTTGTTACTATGTAAAAGTATACCAGTTCTGTTTGCTCATTATTGTCCAATTGCTCGATGATGTTACTGACTGCAATCTCCGTTAGATAGCCTATGAAACTGAGAAAAAATCCTAAAAAGATCTTTTCAAGTATCTTGCTCACCTACAGGTAAAATTTACTAATCGGTTTACGAGGAACGCTTCCTCAATGTTCGATTGCCTTTGACTTGATGTTTTGGTCAAATAAAAGTCTTTGCGAAATGAGATTCTAGGTGCCATTTTTCGAGTTATGATCTGTACAATCTTTCTAGACATTTTCTCATCTCCCAAAGGCTTATATTTGACCAACGCATCAAGTCAAGGACAATTGAGCATTGAGGAATCGTTCCTCGTAAAGCGATCAGTAAATTTTGCCTATAGATGAGCAAGATACTTGAAAAGATCTTATTAGGATTTTTCTCAGTTTCATAGGCTATCTAATGGAGATTGCGGTCAGTAACATCATCGAGCAATCGGACAATAATGAGCAAACAGAACTGGTATATTTTTACATAGTAACAAAGCATAACTAAGATTTTTCGGAAAAAAAAGTTATTTGTTATTTTTTTGTTATTAATAACAAATAACTTTTTTTGTTATTGTTATTAATAACAATAACAATAAATTCACACCCCTAAGATATAATATCTACTACGTATATATGCAATGACAGAACATCACCATTTTGAATTAAGATATAGAATATTAGTCTGTGTAGAAACTACCTTTCATACTAGGATAAATTTCAGATGGAGATATTTATATGTAATACTGGTTAGTTACATATATGTCAGTTAATGCAATATATAGTATACTCAGGCAGGGTTCGTACTTAGTTTAATGATTTATTAGATCATTCAAAATAAAACCTAAATTAATTACAAAACCAACAGAAATTCATTTATTTATTTATATAAGTCTTTTTACATTTAACAAAAAAAATCATTCTAGTATATATTGTATTTTGTAGAAAAAAACTAATATTTTGTCTGTTCAACATAATCATCAGATGGCTAATTTCATACAATTGTGGATTGGTGTCACTTTGGTACTAACATTTTTGTGTTTGGTTAATATAAATAGTTTACCTATAGATGGAACACCAACTGCGGTAGTTCAAAACAATGCAAATACCGATGTAGAAAAAGGTTATGTATGTAACATCGATACTCATTGCAATGGTCATGGAAAATGTCGTCTAAATGAAACAGGCTGTGATTGTGGTCGAGGTTGGACTACATCGAACAATCGTAATGATACGAATGAATATTGTAATTATCAACAACGTTCAAAAAAGCGGGCTTTTTTTCTATCGTTATTTCTTGGTAGTTTTGGTATTGATTGGTTTTATCTTTCACGTGCAAATGAAGTATATATTATTGCTGGTCTGTTGAAATTATTAATCGGATGTGGATGCTGTAGTGCATGGTATTTAACATATTTTCGACCGGAAATCCAAAAGTCAGAATCAGTCAAACATAAAATTCATGGTGTTAGCATATTTTTTAGTTTAGTTACATTTGTATGGTGGATTGTCGATTGGACACGTATTTTACGCAACAGATTTCCTGATGGACGAGGAGTAGGACTTACTCCTTGGTAAACACAGTAAAAATGAATTGATTGCCAATTGTTTTTCTTATATTCATTTATTCACTTTCTTTTTTTCTTTTTCTTTGAAAAGCTTTTCTATGCACTTCTAGTATAGACAAGTATTTGTTTCATTAAAATTCATCATTCATTTAATAATAAATATAAATATCACATTAATCTAAATATTTATTAATTTTTTTTTTAATCACAAAAAAGAACAAAACAGAATTAAACGAGATCATCATCAAATAGCAAAGTTACGCTTGTTTCTGATGTTGGTAACGTACGATGAATAAATAAGTCATCTTCATCGTTTGGATATTGCATTGCTGATGGTAAATTTCTTTAGAAAAAAAAAGTCAAAGAAACCTATATAAGAAAAAACAAAAAACAATCTTTTATTTTACTGTAATGGAGTTGAAAAAAGTCTTTGACGAAGAGTTTGAATTCGCGCTGTTGTTGCATCAACTGGTGTTACTGTTAATGTTGGGATTATACGATTACGATGATGATCATTGTCAGTTGAGTTTCGAATTGGTTCGTGATTTGTTGCTGTTTAGTATTATTTTAAAATATTAAATTAGTAAATACAATATTGACCAAAAGTAGCAATATTACGTAAAAGAAAACAAAATCTCGAGCGTGATAAATGACGAAGTGATGGCTCAAACATTACTTTAATCATGGGACACTTGGATCTTTACCATCCAAATATCTTCATTTGTTCGTGAATTTCCTTGTGTTAGCTAGGCACCTAGGCTTTCTACCATACTGTTTTTGTACGAAAATATCATTTTCTTGTTGAGTTCTATATTTGTATTTACGAAAATTCTCATTAATTCAGGAAATTTTCTCACAAATTACAGAGTGATAGCTATTGCTGAATAAAACTTATCGTAGAAAGTTGATGCTAATAGTGTAAGACTGATTAGACATTGAGATTTGAAAGAGTTCAAGCGCTATATGGATCTTAAAAGTTAGGCACTTAGTACTTCATTTATCAATCAAAATTTAACTTTCCACTGACGCAACGACAGAAAAGTAGCCAAAAGTTTTCTGAACATCATTTTCATTTTTTTCACCTAAATATTTGTTTCAAGTTAAAATTTTGACGTGTAATAAGCCTCTGTACTATTGGCATCAAGTTTCTTCAATAACTTCGGTTAAGAAATAACTATCATTCTCTAATTTCTAAGAATGACTTTCTCTGCTATTGAGAATTCTTTCTCAGAAAAAAGCGGTTTTAACCTGTCTAAGTTATACCCAATTTATCTATAGAAATCAATACACCCATGGCGAATCATTTTGAGATGCAAACATTGAACTCAAGAAGATAATGATGATTTCGTACAGAAACTTTACGGTAGAGAACTTAAATGTCTGATTAATCATTGAGAATTCTTGCACAAATAGAAATATATGAATGATAGAAATCCCGGTGTCTTAAGTTCAAAGTCATGTTTGACTTGCAACTCAATTATTTGTCATCTCATTGAATATGAGTTGATGTCTAGAGTCAAGATCTACTGAATTCTATTTACGATAAAATCTTGAGCTGCAACATTCGAGCTTTTGGTTACATGTACTTTGCGTTGCTACTTTCAGTTAGTAGTATATATCCTTACATATAGCAATATCAGGAACTTCTAATGAGACTGCTGGATATATGCTTGGTCGAGGTCGAGTTAATACTTCTGCTAACTTTGATTTCGAACCGACAGCCTATTAATAAATATCGAAAATACAATGATGAAAAATTTCGTCGCCTATTTTTCTTAAGCGAATTACTTTCAAAACTGTATCGAGTAATTTAGGATCTGATTTTGGGGGATGATCGACAATAATTGGTTCTGCTTGAACAATTCCATCATCATGAGCTGTTTCTTCTTCTTCTGGTTTAGATGAACGTTTCATTAATTTTCTTTAATAGATAAAAACAAAATCATTAAAATTTCTAAATATACTTCTCTCATTTACTTGGCTTTTCGACGAAGAACTTTACCAGCTTCTGGAAAATCTTTTAATTGTTCATTTAAATCTGCTTTATGTAAAGTAAATAATGTTGAGAAGCCTCGTGAAATTACCTAGAATAAAATTAAATCTCCAAAAATAAAGTTTAAACAAGAAAAAAAAATCACTTACATCAGCTGTACGTCGATTACCACCTGCTACTTCAAGTAAACTAATTTCACCAAAAACTGCACCATCTTCAAGACCAGCTATACGTTTGTCATCAATAAATACATCAAGAATTCCATGATTAACAATATACATTTCTCGACCGATTTCACCCTTGAAAAATTTTCATATCAAATTGATTTTGAGAAAATATTGTCTAGCTTACCTTCTTACATATATAATCACCTGGTAAAAATAAAGCCGGTTTTAATTTAAGTACCAATGAGTGAAGAAAAGATCTTTCACAGTCCTATTCAAATATTCAACAGATGTATAAATTTATATACAAAAAAAAAAAATTAATGATGAATACAGAACAAGCATAATTTAATTTAAAATTGTTAATCAAGTAGAGGACAAATCGAACTGTCAATGTTTTAGTATTCTATTCAATTCATTTTGTTTTCAAAGAATGCAATTAGATTTGTAGATCAAAGATAATAAGAAAAAACTAAAATAAATTTATCTAATTGTTTTTTAGTAACATTAGTTCGCTTTTTCTTGTACAATCAATTCCATTCTAACCAGTTATCTTCCAATCTTTATAGAAATATCTATTAGTGAATGTAATCTATGTGTAGAAAGTCTTTTCACAATATGTTTGATTCATTTTTCTCTACTTATAAGTCATTGACAAGAATCAAAAGTAATTAGCTAGAACGAGAATTTCAAACTCTTTGTAATTATCTATAAAGAATTATTTTTTGGCCTCAAGTTAATTCATTGTAGATAAATCTTTGATAACAGCCAAAACTGAAGTTTGTACAATGCCCTAATTCAAAAGGTATTGTTAAGTATCTTATCTTCATCTTTTGGAAATCTTGATATCATTGAAGAAGCTCAAAAATAGTTGGCAGAACTAGAATTTGCTGCTCTTTCCAAATGGATTTTCAGAATTTTTTTACTGACTTACGATTGGTTAGATGTAAGCAAATCTTTAAATAAATCAAAAAGGTTGTTTTCACTAAGAAAAATAAGGTTTCTTCAAGTATGCATAACTTTTGTGCATGAAACTTTAAGATAGTTTTAATTTTCTAGTGTTGCACAAAAGTTAATATTCTACCATATCATACATTACAGCAAGTTAAAACTAAAAAAAAAAAGATCAACATCACTTTATAACTTAATCTATAAAAATACTTTCTTATAATTTGGATCAAACTACAAAACTGGACTGCATTAGTAATTTTGTCTCGACATCGTTTTTCGTCTCCGTCATAGGTTTTGTTCTCAATGAACTAACTTTAAACCAGAAAAAGTCCTAATATATAGTTACAAAGAGCATAAACTTCTGATTCTTACGAATTACCTTTGCTTTTCTCCAGCGACTTATAAATAGATAAACAGTATAAAGACTTTGCATACAGATTATTCTTCGAACCATGCACAATAAACATGAAATTTTCCTATTGAGATCATAGAATCAATTTTATACATCCTATTCTATTCTTTGCTCATCTGCAACTAGGATGTTAATATCATATCAGAATAGTATAAAGAAAAGAAAAGCAAGCCAAAACGATGCTATGTACGTACCAATAAAAAATATCAAATCTGTACATAGATAATTACAACATTGAGATGTAGCATGAAAATAAAAGCATACCTGAAATAATTGTACTTTTGATAATGTATCGTAATGAATACTAATAGCAAGTTCAGTTTGAAGAGTTGTAGGTAAAAATGATAATGTTGTATCATCATCTTCTACTCATAAGAAATAAATTTAAAGTTTATTCAAAATTCTTTCTACATATACATATATATACAAAAAAAAAGATCATACCAAGTGTATTCCTGTCTTCCCAATTGTATTGAAACCAATTTCTAACTCTGTCTTGTACAGTTTTTGGTATTCCAAATTTTGTTAAATATTGCATAACTTGTTCAACTTTATTTTGATATTCTGAACGTCTTTGATTCATTGATTGAAATACATCACGTATTTGTCCAATTAATAAAGCAAATATAAATAATGCTAATAAATATCCCGTTATAACAAATACATATTCAGGTCCAGTTTCTGGACTTGGAATATTGCCAATTGTAGATGCAATTTTAAAACAATAATAAAATGAATATGAATATGCACTCATACGTGGTTGATTTTCTATTTTATAAACCCAACCATTATCAACACCATTTCGACGTTCATAATTTGAAAAAAGAAAATAAATACATGCATATACATGTACAGATAATATAACATATAGAAGTAATGCAAGAATTCTTACAAGACGAACACTAGCAAAAAATGATTGTACCCAACGATCACAAGAACGAAAAAAATCTGTTAATGAACGTATTTTAAGTAAACGTGTTAATCGAAAAATTGCATGAAAACCAAAAAGAAAATAAAGAACATCCAATGGTAAAAGTGATAAACAATCAAATACAAATCGTAATGAATGAAAATATTTCATAGCAGTTAAACGAAATGCAGTCTAAAATAAAATAAAATACAGAAAAACATTGAAAAGATTTTTTTTTTCTCTTTATTACATACAGTCCAAAGTCCATTTTCTAAATATTTAATTCTTGTTTGAACAAAAAATATATCTATTAAATAGAGTACATCACATAAATAATCGATTAACATCCATAACCAAATGTTTCTTTCGCCGTTTTTCCATATTGGAAATGCTATACGTAATGGTATTGATATAAAATTGTATAAATATGCCATAGCCACTAACGTTAACCAAATTAAATGTGCATTACCTTATTATAATAAAAGAATATTGAAAGAGATTTCATTATTAACTTACTATCTGTATCAACTGGTTTTCGAAAACCAGATTTTCGTATACAACGAAAAAGAATTCGTTGTAAACGTTGTTTTATTCCATTGCCTTCTATAGCTAGACTAGTTGTTGAAGCATGACTTTCACTATCTGATGCAAATATTGATCTAGCAGGAAATTGTTGTTGCTGTTTTTCTTCACGCACGATAACACTAGCAGCTTAAAGAAAAAAAAATAATGTAATTTTCTTCTTTGATTTTTAAATTAAAACTAGATATCATTTTTTTAAGGAAAGCTAAACTTATAATTTGAAATGTTTTTCTGCGGGATCTACGAGAAATTCAATTTATCTCGTTTGAATTTCATGATTTTCAAGTTATTATGACTTTCATATTTTTCACGTTTTATTCCTTTTGGATATAGATTGGCTTGTGGGGCAAGGAGGCTAAGCCTCCTCTATCCACCTTACTGATTTTGCCATTGCCCACATTTGACATCCACATGTACACTGAACTGGATCAAATGAACTAATAGGACTAAAATAGCCAAAATATTCTTAGAGTTTAAAAAGTTTTGTAAACATAATCGTAAGAATGTGATGAATTTGATTTGTTGGAAGCCTTTGATCTTTTTAGATATACTAACTTGTTGCATTATCTTCGTAATCTGGTGGTTGATGAATAATTTCTTTAATAGCATCAGTTCGATCACTGAATTTTCGACGTAAATTACGTAATTGTCCACTAATTGATGATACTTGAGATTGACGTCGGATATCATATGAAAGTGACTCATATATAAGACTAAAAAAAGAAACTATTTTAGGACAAATATAATTGATTAATTAAATAATATTAACTTGCTATAACTTCGAGCCACTGATTTATTTATTTGTTGATCTTCTTCAATACTTTCTTTAAAAAAATAACTTTACATTTTTTTTTTTATTAAGAATAAAAATTTAATACTACTAACGATCAAATTCAAGACTTGTTAAATTTTCAAGTGTTAGATCATTCAGATCACTTTCTGTGTCTAAACTACTAATAAGATTTTCATAAGCATGAGGTCGTTTTATTCGTTTAGTTAAAATCGTATGTTTAGCCATCTTTTTTTTTCCTTAAAAACGATATGTCACAAGATTAAATGATAAATGAATTAGAAATCATCAGAATGTAACAATGAGGCTCGTTACCTACGATTAGCCTCCAGAAATAAATTTTCTAGATGTCACTTTCATTATATCTGATTGGAAATGTACCATAAGCAATAGAATAGGAAAATAATTTCAGTCACTTTAATTGATCTACCATCGTTGAAAGAGTTCTAGTACAAGAATGTCTGATGAAGAAATTACAACAAATAATATCATGGATATTGATATAGCTCCAAATGAATCCTCTTCTTCTTCTGTACCAGCAGCATCAAGTGTTATACCCAGTGTTGGTATTGGAGATATATCAGATTCTGATGATGAAGATATCAATGAACCAATACTATCAAAAAGTTCAACACCAGATTCAACAACTCTTCCAACTATCATTACAAAAAAACCTTTAACTACACATAAACCTACTTTAACAAAGAGTTTGTATTATTTTATTAATTGAAAAATATTTTTCATAATAAAAACAAAATCATATTATTTTATTTTATTTTATTTTATTTTCTAGATAAATCTTCGTTGGTTACCTATGAAGCTGATTCTGATGATGATGAACATACAGATGAAGATGAAGAAGAAGATAATAATAGAGAACAAGATGGAGACGATGATCATTCAAATTCAAATAGTGCAGTTATATTACATGCTAATGGAGACACTGCTTTTATTCAAATTGAAACAACTACATTTATTGAAAAAACAATTGTTACATCTGAACTTTTAAATGTTACACCGGTATGTATTATTAATCTTGGTATAGTATTGAGTTATATATTCATTATTCATAGCTCAAACCAGAAGAAACATCACCATCATCTCGTATCGATTTAACACCTAGTAAATGATCATTTTAAAATGATTTTAATTATATTTTATTTTATTAGCTTATCCATTAATATTTCCCGAAGATGCTGACATTCGTATACCACCAGAACCTATCAAAGGTTGTTCAGCTAAACTTGAAGTAAAAAATTTTCTTATAGAAACAAAAAACTAAATCAAACTACATTTATATTTGAATAGAAAAAATTTGAAGATTATTATAAACGATTTAAAAAAACAGGTGTCGATCAAAATGTACGTATACAAGAATTAAAAGATTTTCGAAATCCATGGTATTGAAATATATATAATTTTATTTTCTTGTTGATTATCATTTTTTTTTGAATTTTTTTAGTATGTATGAAAAAATGATTTCTCATTTGAATATTGATGAAATTGGAACGAATTTTCCACAAGTATATTTTATTTATTATATGTTTGTAAATTTAATTATTATTTTTTTTTTCTTATATGTTTTAGGAATTATATGATCCACATTGGTGGGGTAAAGAATCTTATTATGAAGAATTAAGTACGGATGATTTTATTTTATTTTGAAATAAGAATAAATTGATACTAAGGTTTGTTTAGGTAAAGCACAAAAACTTGAAATGGATCGAAGAGAAAAAGAACGACGAGAACGACCAAAAGTATACATCAATTCGTTCATTAATAATTTTTTTTTAAGTGAATTAAATTTTCTTTCTAGATTAGTTTTACACCAGGTGTTAAAAAAGTTGATCAACTTGGTGTTGGTTCATCGACGAATCCTGATATAGGTGGTGAAAAACGCAAAACTCGTTTTGATCAATGATCATACATATAATATTTATAAATACTTACTATTTGTTGTTCCTACTGTTATTTATGGTTAATAGACATCTAAAATATATTTTCTTTGTATTTCTTTGATCTTTATACAAAATAAGAGAAATTCGTCATATTGATTCAAATAACATTTCAATTAAAATACTTATTAAACGATTTTTTTCTCCACGTAAATTTCGATTTCTTTTCATATTGATTTTGATCGCTTGTCTATATTGGTTATTTTTCCTAGTTAAATAGTTCGTTGATTACGTACCATTTGTTATATTGATTTTGGCTATCTCTTACATACTCATATGACTTCTAACTGTGAACAAAGTGATATGCAAAGAAACACTTAGATATATATATTTAAAGAAGCTGAACAACATATGACGCACACAAACGATCATAATATTTCGAGTATAAATTTAAATATTCTTTTATTAGGTAGTGTCTCATTGATCAAAGTCAGATACAAAAATTCTAAAACAAGAAGACTTTAATATTGCTAAAAATAATCGACTCTTCTATTTAAATTAATATTTTCAAGTAATATTATTCTTTTTTAATTTATTATTATAGTTTCTGGTATGATGCTTATTGAAGAAATATAGGTTTTCAAATGGAATCCAAATGTAACAATACAACATATACATGTTCATCCAAGTAAATTTTCTTTTTTTTTCATTGATTTGTTCATATTATCCATTGTCAGCAGTAAATAAAAAAGCAATTATGATATAATCCACATCGAAACACGTTGATACTTTACTTATTTATGTTTGTCGAACAGTTTTTATTATTGGTATTAAACTTGCATTTATTTGGTTTCTTGTACTAGTACACAACTGTATGTAATATAAGGTTTATTATTTTTATTCGTTTATTCGAGAAGAACAAACTTTTATTAACATCGATTGACAATGAAATTGAGACGTTTCCATTATACATGTATATCTTTCAATAAACAAAGGATAACGCTCTTCGAACGACAATGTTAAGATTCGATTTTTCTTAATATTGTTGAACTCCTTTCTACATGTATTTTTATAGATACAACAAAGAAAAATAAGAATTATTTGTTGTTTTTTTTTCCTATGATTGTCACTTCAATGAACGAACATCATATTTACGAGTTAAAAAACAATTTATTTTGTTATTGTGCTTCATCAAATACTAAAGAGTGAATACATTTTGAATGTTAAGAAATAGAAATAATGAAAGCAAGAACAAAACATGAATTACTGCCGTAATTAGAATAACTTATCAAACAAGTGTGACATCTGTTCACTGCAGTAAAATATATTTAACTTTTTTTTTCAAACTATTTTTTCTATTTAATTAACTATACCCATTGATGCTCACTTTCCACGATTTATCTTTTCGAAAGAATAGATGGCACACACGCCTAATGAATCATTGTAATTTTCCTTTCTTATATGTACCTGATGATGATACCAATTGTCTATGAAAAATTTACATCTTATGTTCAACAAATATCCGTACCGAAGAAATGATTGTTACAGCAGTGATTCATTTCGTCGTGTTTCTATCAAGTAGATAACTCGAAAAGTACGCTTAGCTTTCTGTTAATATATATAGATATATTTACTACCATTCTACAAGTACATTAAAGTATAAGAAAAAAATGTTAGTGGTTGAGAGTTAAAAGGATTGTATTTTCAATATTTTATCGATACATTAAATAATAAGAGCATTGAAAGAATTGGTTTTAGTTGTATTTTTTTTTTCATAATTTTTACCTTTCATATTATTCCATATCATTTGAGTCTGATTTTTCTTAATTTATTTGATTTCATCTATCAGCAATACTTAGTTTAAAAAAGAAAATCTTTAAGATGATTACTTCTATAATCTTTAAATTTGCATTCGATCTTTTAGTATTAGCAAACTATGATGAAGAATATTTTAATTACAGGCACTAATCGAGGTATTGGTTTTGGTATTGTGAAGTATCTTGTTTCAAACTCACCAAATTTTGAACTTATTTTTGCCGATTATCGTGATGCTAATAAATCTAAAGTAATCATTGTAAAATTGAATAGTTCTCTAAGATGTATATGTACTTTATGTCATCATAGGAATTGTTAGATTTATCAAAATAACATTCGAATATAATTATTCCAATTCAAATTGGTCCGTTTGTTGTTATTTACATGATAGAGAAAAAAAACTACATTGATATATAACATTTTGTTTAGATGTTAGTGATGATGAAAGTGTTAATAAGGCAAAATTTGAAGTCAAAAAGAAATTAGAAAATGATCGAAGTCTCAATTGTTTAATAAATAATGCCGGTGTCAGTAAGAATTTCAAATTCAATGATATTGACGAAAAAGATATGCTTGATACATACAGACATAATGTTATTGGAGCATGACGAGTAACAGTGGTGTGTATACTTGTTTATTCTTATATATATTAGTCTACATTGATGTTTTTTTTTTTTAATATTCAGATATTTTTACCTCTCATAGAAAAAGCAGTTACTGGTGAACGAAATGTTCTTCAAGCTAGTATTATTAATATATCAACGACTATGTCTTCAATTACAATAGCTTCCACTCTATCTTATTGTGCTTATGATTATCAATGTTCAAGAGCAGCATTAAATATGTATACTGTATGTCTTGCAACCGAATTGGCTAAATCAAATATTTTTATTGCTTTACTTCATCCTGGATGGGTACAAACTGATATGGAACGTAAAAGAGCATCATTGAATATTGACGAAGCATCGAAAAATATTATTAATTGTATAACTGCTATGAAAAATGAACATTATGGGAAATTAATTGATTCTACTAGTGGAAGTAAATGTGATATACTTCCATTTTAAATAAATAACTTTAAGCATTAAAAAATTTTCTAAAGAATTTTTTTCTAATGTAAAAAGTGATTTTTTGATGTATTAATAAATAAAAATGAATATCTATATATATATATATATAGGCTATGTTTGATTCGTGATAAGAGTAAGTTTTTTTGTTTTAGAACATCAATTCTTGAGATGAAAACTGTTGTTATTACTGGAGCTAACCGAGGTATTGGCTATGGATTGGTTAGACAATTTTTAGCATCTAAAGCCGATTGTATCTTTGCTACGTATCGTCAAGTCGATCGATCTAAAGTAGACTTTTAGAATTTCAACTACATATATGTATATACTTGTTCGGTTATTAAGGAATTATTTGCGTTAGCTAAAGAACATTCAACAACAATTATACCAATTCAACTTGGTTAGTCAATTTTTTGAAAGTGATATCAAAAACAAAATTCTGTTTTCTTTAAATTAATAGACATCATCGATGATACAAGTGTTCGAAAAGCAGTTGATAAAGTACAAGAAACATTAAATGGAAAAGATCTGAATTGTTTAATTAATAATGCAGGCATAGCAACAAAACTAAACTTTTTTTGTATTAATGAAAAAGATATGATGGAAACATATCGACAAAATGTTATTGGACCATGGAAAGTTACTAAAGTATATTTTAATTAGTTCTTTGTAATGTATATATTTATATATCTATCAGAAATGTCCATTTCGGCTGAAAATCTTTCGCTGTCGCTATGGCTTTTGGAAAGTTTTTTTAAAAATCTCTTCTATTACTCTGTTAAAGCAGCATAGTTAGTTTGAATCTATCAGATTCACCACAATTCTGACTGTTGGACTTGTAGACATTCAAATCAGATGCACACTCATGCAATTTTACTATCTTCCTAAAAAGAACGCAACAACTGGCGCTATAGTATTTTTGAAACATTTTCTATACCGTCATGGACACTTCTAATATAAACTAGTTCAATTTCTCTCACTGTTTATATCTAGAAAACTATTTAGAATATTTTAATTATTTTAAATTTATCAATATAATTGAAAGTTTCTTTTTACATATGCTTTTCATTAAGGCATTTTTACCACTTCTTGAAAAATCTGCATCACAACTTAAACAACGTGATATTAAACAATCATCCGTAGTTAATATTTCTTCAATAATGTCTTCCCTTCAATTGGCAAAAGATCTACCTAATAAGTATTATGATTATCAATGTAGTAAAGTAAGTTTATAATCTATTATATTATTTTCGTTTCACTCCTTTTTTGTTCACGTTTTTGTTTCTAGGCAGCATTAAATATGTTAACAATATGTATGGGTAAAGATTTTGAAAAGAAAAAAATCTTTTTTTCTCTTCTTCATCCTGGTTGGGTTAAAACAGAAATGGGCACAGATAAAGCTCCATTAACAACCGATGCTGCTGCTAAAAATATTTTAGAATGTCTACAAGCAATGACAAATGAATATTATTGTAAATTAATCGATACACGTGACGGAAAAAAATTAACTGTTATCCCTTTTTAATACATATTTTTTTAATTTAATGTAATTTTGTCTAAGATGAACATCTTTATAAAAAAAAAACAATATCTAGCGATCATAGTAGTGTATAACGATATGATTTTCTATTAGCTATCATGTTTGCATGTCGAATTGATTTAATTACCACAATCAATGCCATAAATGTTAAAGAGATGTTTGCAATCAATAATATAATTAAAATAGTATGTCGCATTGTTAAACCAGTTTTATCTATCCATGAAGACCATTTTGTTCGTGTCGTATTGACTAGTGAAGACCAAGATGTGTAAGAAAATGATGAACGAGTTGTATTCATAATTGTTGTATTATTCTTAATTTTGTTTTCATCAGTTAAGTTGGTCAATAATACGAAATGATCACATTCACCAGAATAACAGAGACGACCAAGACAAATATCTGTAGAAGATCGTACTGTTACCTGACATGTATTTGAAGAATCTAAAGAAAAGAAATTTTACAGATGCTTTTCATATACATATATAATACTTACTTGTTTTATTCATGATATTCGATGCACAACAACTAGTGTTACATGAATACATTAAATTATTATATATTGTGCCAATATTAGTAGTCGTACTAATGAGTTTTGTATTATTGGTATCACATTGATGAAGATCAATGTTAATTGAAGAATAATTTTGATTAAAATTGTTGTAATAATTAACGGAATAAGCAATTGTAATAGAAGTAAATTGATAATGAAAAAAGAAAAATAGTAAAAAAAGATTAAATTGCATTTCGTTATTGTACTGGTATCCTGTAAAAGAAAAGAGAAGAATGGAATAAAAAAAAGAAAAGCAAATGTGACTTTTCATTCTCATAATAGTAATAGGAAAAAATGCATACAAAAAAAACCAAGAGCACAGCTGGTTTGATGATTCGAGCAGTCAGATGAAATAAAAATGATATACATTCAATGTAGTTTTTATTTATATTTAAAATATTCTTTTTATTTTCTTCAAGTTCACGTTATTTTCAATCTGATAGTTTTGTTTCAAGATCGATACTTTCATACTTTTCTTTGTTAATAATTCATTGTGTAATGGATAACTAGACAAAATTCCAGAAAACTAAAAATAACCTGATCTGCACACAATTAAATATAATTGTTTCTTTGGAAAGAGTAAAAGTTCGTCAATCAAAAAAAAAACATCTAAGGGCAATAATTTAGGTGTTAGAGGAGATTTCATTATTTCTATATTACTTTGCCTGTGTAATCTAAATGTTTTATGAGAAAAATGTTTGTAACATTGTCCGATTCGGTTATTAAATAACTTCATAGCAATATTTTGATGCTTAGTATTGTTAATAAACAGTTACGCCTATATTAGTTAAAATTAAGTAAAGTGATTTCTCAATGAATACGATCTAATTTTACTCTTGTCTTATGTTATGTTATTTGTGTAATCGGTAGAATAAATTGTTTTGTAAAATAAAGAAAAAGTGAGACAGTAGATTGGAAAATAATTGCAACAACTAATTTAGACATTATTTCGTTTGAATATAAACGTATATGCTATTTCAAAAAATTGTCTTTATAAAAGCAAAGACGACAAGATCAAGCATAAGCACTGGCTGTGGCCAATCATAAAATTTAAGCCGTTTTAACTTCGAGAAAAAATTTGATTCATTTTGCCAAACCATTCTAAAATCGACTAATATCATAGAGAAGAAGTATGAATGATCAAATCGATAAAGCCATTATGATTTTTGCGGTAGAATAACTATTAAAAAATTGTTGAAATGATTCTTATCTGAATACTTTCAGACAATTGCTGTGTGTGTTGGAGAATTTTCTAGGTAAGCAGTCCAAATAATGGAAAAGATAAAATTAAGTGTTATTCTTGTAATGCTGAGACTTCAAGTAGGAATACATAAATTGAAAACAAAGACCATAATTGAACAAATAGTTTGCATTTGGCACATCATAAGAAAACGAAATTACAACAGTAAGACAAATGACTATACGAACACGGTTTAATGTAATTCAAGCCAAATCTACTTTCTGAATGAATAAGATCATCGTATAAAAGACTGTTTCTTAAAGAAGAATTAAACCTAATATACAAGTTAAAAACAAATTAACAAATGGAAAGTAAAACATGTGTCTCAAAGATGAAGTAACATCAAGCAAACGAATAAATATAATGAGACCATTGTCATCAATTGTAATGGTGACTACAACAATCAGAAATTGTTGGTCGGTGATAGATAGTTGGTGAGATATCTTGATAGAAATTATTGTTCGAATGGTCACACTCTCGTAATCATGCGTAATAGTTCTTGATTTCAGATAAAATACTTTGAGAATAATTTGGTTAAGATTCTTATAAAAAAAAACTAGTATCTAAACCAAACAATATCGACTTCGATAATTTTCAAATCGGTACTTTGATACTATTGATATTTAAATCTAAGAGAAATCAAATGTTTTCAAAAAAAAAAATTCCAAAGAATTCAATATCGATTCGCATAAAAAATGGAGTTTGTTGATTGGATCTATTTCTGTTTTGTAAGTACCTATGAGTTTTTCTTTGATTCTTAATTAATATATAATGAAATCTATCTAAAGGAAAGTATTTTAAAATTTTAAGGAAAATCATTCATGTATACAATCTTTGTACTACTTGAATGACATGAACCAGGACTTTTCTATACGTTTATCTTTTAAGCGACGAATAAAAGTTTATTTCTGATTGATGAACGTGAGCACGTTCAATATGAAATATAATACATGGATGAACAAACATATGATGAATTATGCGAGTTTCCAGGAAAATAGATGAATTTCCGAATATCGAATGATAGTGTAGAACATAGAAAAACAATTTCTCTCACCAATGTATTTTTCAACAATGAAATATCAAATATAAAGTGGTGAGTTAACACATATACACCTATCTCTCTCGACAATCACATGAATAGATGTTGTTGATTCATCATCAGATGATTTTATTGTACAATCAAATGCAAATGAATATAAATTATTTTCTTTTGATTTTGCTATAAGATCAAGCATCCCTACCAAGGGATATACAATAACTCTAGAAGAATAACAAAATGTGATTCTTTTCAAGTATAGTATGAGCATACTGAAGGTCAATAATAGCTTTATTTTTGTGATTAGCTTTCTATCGTTGTCAAAAAATATCTCCTCCACCTTTAAGGATTAAGTAGAAAATTGTTTCAAATATTACATAATAGTACAAACAGCTACGAATTATTATCTATAAAAGTAGATTATTCTAAGATTGCCATTGATCAATTAAGTTTCGCCCAAAATTAAATTCTTTTCATTTGGAATTCATAACTATAATAATTTGACTAAGAGAAAAAAACTATATTAAATAAAACTTTGTGCAAAAAATATATTGAATTATGTCCTCATAAATGCCGCCTATCCATTCTACAAGACAAATGACCCTCGTAAAACTACTCATCAAGCGAGTACGATTTGCCAGCATGAGTACTCAAATTAATCACGTGACTACTTGTATAATTTTATGAGTAATGGTGCTGTTTGTGTACTCATTCGAGTACTCATATGAATATTTGTCTAAGATTTACTCGTAGACGATATCACGAGTACTCAATGTAGTACTGATCCTCGTTTTAAACCAGAACATATAACAAGACACCTATAGACGAGAATGAATAATAGTGAAATAATGTTTAGTAAAAAGAAGAAATGATACAACTATATCAGAAATAAAGATGAGAATTTCTGAAGGCTTATCGCTTTGATCCTTCATTCTTTATATATGAGTCATCCATGCTACTTTAATGAACGGCTATAGTTAAAAGACAAAAAGACAAAAAGATAAAACTTTTCTTTTCCAACTATTCATTTCTCGAGTAAGATTAGCTGTTTATTTATATAAACGCATATAAGACAACGCCTTCGATTTCATTTTCTAAATTTTAGATAGAATACTATTTTAATTCAATATATAGCTACTTCAGATTCACGATGAAAATTAACGAAACAACATGTCTAATAACTCATTCTTTGGACACCGAACTTATTCACTGCATATAACAAAGTCAATATGGTTTTAAAATGTTCTGTTTTTTTCTTAATGTTTTAGAATCTAGATTCTATATTTTTGTTTTCAAGTATTTTGTTTGCGTGCATAATTTGTTTATTATCTGTCCGCAATCATACACACTAAAATAAAATGTGTCGCACTTATGTGTCGTGAATTATAGTGTCGCAGACTCAATGATGAACATGTGTCGTGCTTAGAATGTGTCGTATATAAATTTGTTTCGTTCTGCCTGCTGACTATCCATTCACCGTCTTGTTTTGGGCATACAGCTATATATAGACAATGCAATTGGCATACACAGAACTTATATTTTCATATTAGTTACTTTTTAAAATTATTTCTCGATATTTATTTCTCGAACAAATGCCGATCTTGATCGATGATCGAGAAAGGACTACCTTGAAGCTGTTTGATGCAGATCGAATTAGCTCGAAGCCGGACGGATCTCAATATCTGACCTGCTTGAATTTTCAGTATAGCAATACTTAAATGAAATTAAATCGAAAATATGTGCTAATTTATTTTTAGGAAAAAATTCGGAATGTGCTGTATAGTAGGTTCGAACCATGTTTTCAAAATGTGTCGCTTGTGTCGTACTAAAATGTGTTGTGCCGTCGCTGGACGAAATGTGTCACACTTGAATGTGTCGTATATTGTGTTGCATTTTGCGACACATTTTATTTTAGTGTGTATTGTAGTGTTCTAAGAATATCTTTCATTTTCTGTTTCTCTATTCTTTGAGTTGAAAGTTTATCATGGTACTCAATATGCAGATATAAGCAAAATATAAAATCTTAATTTTTCAAATTTTCATGAACTATATTTACATTTGATCACTACGATTTAATTCAATAAAATAAATATAGTACAACAGTACTGGACGGAATATAGATCAACGAGTATTTTATAAAAAAAAGGCCACTAGAGTACTCACGAAACATTCGAATTTACAACATAAATACTCGATAGTCGTACTCAGATACTCATATTCTAGCACGAGTACTACTGATGAGTACTCGCTGGGCTATTACTTTCATTAGGGCTGTCATTTAATCCATGATATTTTAATAATCTATTTGTTAGAAACCGTAACAGATATTTGAATCAAACACTTTGTTTGATTTTCATGTTTTAAATCAGTATATTGTTTTTTTGTTTTGGCTTAATAAGCATTCACCATTCTAATAAAATATAAATTTTTGCTTGTTTCGTTTGCCTTCAATCGAAATTCATTCAAGCGAGTCATCTAGGTAAAAAAGATCAAGCTGTATAACAGATACAAAAGAAAAGCGCATCGTAAGTTACCAATCATGCGTGCAATTGATTGTGGGTGTTAGTTTTTACACAATGAGATGTACTTTATTCTGAGCTAAAGTAAGTAATTCATATGGTGAGTTTGCCTACATAATTAAGGTAAGAACTTATTTGAAGACAGTTATTGATCACACATTGATTTGTTTTATCTATTCACGATAATCGTATCAAATTGATGAAATGGTTTTCTTTAACTAAATAATTAGTTTTATTAGAATATAATTGATCCTTTTATTATTTTTTTCTAAATTATATTAGATTATTGAATACAATTGTTGTTTTTACTCAGATTTTATTGTAAACATATTTTTCAACAAGTTAATATAACAAATTATTTTCCCAATTTATAGTCATGTTTCTATTACCAAATAAATATAAACATTCAAAAACTATCAAAGTGATTTGTTGTTTATTATTAATACCTATATTTCTTAAAATTATATTTATAATATCGAAGCCAACAAATTACTCTATTCTGTCTTTATCTGTCAACCCATCAGGGTTACATTTGATCAAAGCATCATTCAGAAATAAATTAATTAATGAACACTTAGCGAGTTATTCTCGGATGTATGATAGTAGATCACGAAATTGTAATACAATGCGACCATTAAATGAAGAACACGAACAAGATTTCCCAATTATATCGAAATTACTTGTAACACTTCGTCAACAAATTGTACCTTATCAAAACGAATATTTTCATGGTCGAGGTATTGTTCTCACTGTTGGACCAAGTCAATTAGAATTAGCGAGAGTCAATTTGAAAATGATTGAACACAGTGGTACTCAATTGAATGTTCAGGTAAATATAATTTCATTTAGACATATATTAAAATGAGTTTTTTTTTCTTCTGCATTATAATAAAAAATTGAGAACGGTATTTATACAAAAAAATAGATATCAACAGCATTGTAATGAAGAAAAAAAATGACATATTTACAAATCTATAACTATTCACATAAAATTAACAAGAAAATGAAGTCAGCTTTTTGAAATTAGAAACAACTTCAAATTCAGATTAGAATTATATACATAACATCAATCCTATTGAAAAGTATTAACTATTAATTTTTTTCTCGTAGACATTAAACAATAATTTCATTGAGTAAGACTTAAAAAAATAGTTTGTTGAAAGTTTTCTATCAAAATACTCGAAATCTTCATATTAGAAAAGTATACTTAGCTTTTTAAAGAGTTAAAACGGTAGAGCTATGATGAAAATCATTGCGTTATTATTATTAATGGAATCATCTTTTCACAATATTTATCTGAGAGTATGAACTTCAGCCAATATCACAATGTGACAGAAAAACGGATGATCATATTTCTAACTAAAGTCTGTTTTTTAGCACTAATATAGATTTTTCGAAAGAGAATTCTGAGTAGAAACTTCAAGTCAAAGTTTTCTTTCTCGTGTTCTCTACTTTGTATCAATTAGAGAAAAAAATCAGCAATTATTCAGTAGCTTCTCCTAATAACCAACGATCTTAGAAATCATAATCATCATTGATTAGGTATATTTCTCTAGTGACCGAAACCAAAGATCAATGATTTCAATACGAGTTTTCAACTCTGATAACGGAAGCGAAAATGAAGGATCCTTTTACATGTCAAAGATGGTTTAAACTTTCAGAGCTAACAGAGGAGGAAGAAAAAAAAGTATACGATTCGTGTATATGATTTATTGGAACAAAACAAGAAATGTCTTGAGCGACAATCATACAGACAGACAAGGTGGTTTTTGTACTAATTTTGTTCAAAAAAAAAGGAAGAAATTATTCCGCTTTTTTTGTTTCTTTGTATGAGTTCCCATTTGGCCATCAAATATATGAAACAAAGAACAGCTGGTTGCGCAAATCGCCGTGGGACTAAAATGTGAAACACACTGTAGCCACTGTTGCTAATCACAGGAAAATTTTTTTGAGATACATTTCTTCACTATCGTTCTGCTTGGTCCTTTAAAAATGCAATAGGTAAGTAATTCATATATTAAAACGACACGTTATTGATAGTGAGTCTGTGATCGTATATCAAAAAGGTCTGCCACAGTGTTTGATGAAAGAGTGACTATAGTTCATATTTCACAAAAAATGCCTCAAAAACTTGAAATTTTGCTCAAAAGCGAACAAAAACTCGTATCTTTTGCGAATATATTAATCGAGTCTCACATAGATAAAAAAAGCTGAGTAGTTTGTTCCTTTTTTTGTACAAAGTTAGTACAAAAACTAATATGCCTGTCTGAGTATAATATAGTTGAAAATGAAAATTATCAAGAACTTCTATCCAACATGTCCTAATATCACTCTATAGAAACTGTTACAAAGAGGCTGATATCAATTGTCTTCATACATTGAACATTCATTTTACCAAAGCTACACCATACTATATACTACTTTTATTTCTTTGTTTTCAATGATCTAATTTGATATTGACCAGACTTCTTGAGTTTGACATTTTGATCATAAATGCAGTTTCATTTATACGTTTTTTTTATTTGAGTAATGATTTCATGAGATTTCTATTATTATGCTCGATCACTTCGGAAGAACAGAAAAAAAACACTTTCAGTTTCAACAATGGATATAATATACTTTATTTTGTCACGCACGAAAAAACATTAACATAAGATTTCTCCGTCAAGCAAATTCCAAAATAAATTTGACCTTTTCTCTTTTAGATATGGTATTCATCCAGTCAAATATCAGAAGAACAGATGATGAACTCGCTTATTGAGACATCTAGACTCAATGTCAGTATATGTTGTTTTGACAGAGCACAATGTAGAACTCGTAGACAAATCTGGAAACTTAATTCTACTCATGTCCATAAACCTCATGCAGGCAATTTATTGAAAAGTTTTCCTTATAAACCGGCAGCAATTGTTAGTGCTACTTTTGCTGAAGTACTATTTCTCGATTCTGATGCATATGTTACAAGAGATCCCATAGATCTTTTTGTTTCCGATCCAATGTATCTCAAATTTGGTGCTCTTTTCTTTCCTGATGCTTATCTAAGTCGACAACATCCATCTGTATGGAATTTGCTTAATACAACTTGTGGTGAACATGAATATGAATTGGATAGTGCTACAATATTAGTTGACAAAAAACGTGTATGGAATGGAATTTATATGGCAAAATTGATGAATGATAATCATGAACTATTCTATAAAGTAATCATTTGTTAATGACACTAATCAGAATAGATTTACATTTGTTTTGTTGTAGCATGTTTCTAGTGGAGACAAAGATACATATCGATTAGGTTTTCGTTATATGGATGTAAAATATTATATAGTGATGATACCATGTGCTGTAAGTTATCAAGTATTCTATTCTTGATGACAAAATATGATGTCCATTGTTAATTTTTGAATATCGTGAAAACAAAAGTAACTAGAATCCTGTAGATTTGACCATTGGAAAGAGAAACGTAGAGAAAATGACAGTTTGATGAATTGTTTGAACAATGTTTTAGTCAAGCAGATGAGTTTTTGTTGTAAATTTTGATCAGAAATGTTTGAAAAAAAAACTTTCTTAACTAACTGTAAGTTCCATTTTAATAAATCGACAGCAAAGACATTTCTCTATCGATTTACACAAGATCAATTCTTCTAGTTTATTTCATACGGGAGTTACAATGAGTTTACTGAAAACTTTGAAAGCGGTCAACTGATCATTGATCATTCGAAAGTTCTATTGAATTCAATGTATTACTCTACACTGACTCCTATCGTAGTATCTATTTTTAGTGTCAATATGGTCGTAAGTAGCTAGATCATGATTTTTGTAATTCAGTTGATGCAAAACTTGTAACATTATATGAGACATTTTAAAGATATTGTCTTTCTCATGTCAGGTCATTTCAAAACTAACAACAAATAACATCATTACACTCAGCAAAGACGAATACATCGAACTGAATACAGTTGAAAGCTACCAATGATCATTTGACTGATTACAAGGCTTCCAGTAAAATATTTATACCTCCTGAATGGAATAAGCTAGAAGAGTCGGTCTTGCGTAGATCTAAAGAGAAATGTTTTTGCTGTTAATTTCCTAAAGCGAAACTCATAGGTAGTTGAAGAAGGGTTTTAGAAAACTTCTGATAAAAATCTATAGCAATAACTCACCTAATAGACTGAAACATAGTCCAAATAATATCAGCAAAGTGTTACTTTTCCATATTTCTCTTTCCAGTATTGAAAACTGCTATTGTCGTTCTCTAAATACTTAAAAAAATATTGATATCCATCATATATTGGCGTTAGCAATAGTTATTTTGTGATTTAAACTGATTTTTTTTTCTTATTACTCTTAGACTGGTTCATTCGATGGTACTCGTTTTTGTGGTTGGTCTCTTTGCAAAACAGATAGTCTTGCACAACATATCTACATTAAGTATGAATATTATATGTTTTTATCTTTGATTATTATACTTCTTCATATTTTCTTCTGTGATTTAGTCATGTTCATCTTTTCAAATATGAACATATCAGCTACACACGAGCTAATTTAGGTTATACTCGTATTGGTCTTGGTGATCCAAATAACAATTCGTTTTTCTTTGCTCACTGTCGTTTACCAGGAGCATCCACCAGTTGTTTTCATATTGTTAAGAAACCTAATCCACAAATCACTGATAGTGTATGTTACACAGGTGGAATCCAATTAGAAGATACTGAGGATCATCAATATGCGCTGAATGAATCTTTGTTTTTTGAAGAATCGAGAAACAATCGAATATTAATGAGCAAAACAAACAATTCAATGCCTCACTTTGTTGATAATTTACTGAAATATCTCTAATAAATATTTGTTTTCAGATATATACAAAACAGACTCAAATAGATAATGAGTCAATCATAGAAAGATTTGATAAACAATTCACAAACATATCTCTTAATTTTAAATGTAAAAAGAAGTAAGAAAAATTTTCTTTTTCTGTGAATAGATTCAGACAGGTGAAAAAAATCCAGTGGAATGGAAACACACAAATAAAGAAAATGAATATGATACATCACTATTTACCAGGAAAGTGACAATGTATACTCGAGTGTATATGGTCATTTCTTCTAAATTTTCATGGCTATCTATATCTTAATAGCTATTCATACTACCTGAATTTTTAAATACTTGTCGCCTATTTAAATCTTCATCATTGTTTGATTACGTGTTTGATATGCATTTAAGGTCAAATGTTTGCAAATATCTTCATGAGTAGCTGTTCACTACGAAGCAGTTTTAATCATATGAAGCACTAGTAAATAAGTATTGATTATTATTGATACTACAGTCAAGGATTTATTTAACGTTTCTTATTGTTTTCGAGCAAGGAGATTGAAAGATAGAAAAACTATTCTGATGAAATTATTTGCGTAGTGATAGATCATTTATAAGCAGTATTACTTACAGATATGCAGCACTGGTTAATAAATATATTTTGGTGCTCATTGATGTAATAGTTTTCTGTTTATGCAAAATATTATGAGGAGCATTTAATTTACATAGTGCATTTTTTAAAGATGGTCAGTATTATTTGAAGCATAGTGATAGATATTAGAATAAGATCTCACGTTTTACTATGAGTTTATTGCATAGATTAGGCGTCGCTAGATTCAGACTACGATTTTTTCTTCTAGTTTTTGTTGAACTATTTAGTATAACGTGTTTATTTTGTTCAAGGTAAGTGACATGTGTGCTTTTGCACAAACTTATAATGTTATCAATATGAGTTTCAATTCATGTAATAATAAAAAAATAAACTTGGTGCTATTGTTAATGAAAAAAACAGAAAGTATTCTTTTTTTTACTAGTGTTGTCCATTGTTGTCCTACAGAACTCGATCTAGAAAACAATTCGATTTGAATTAATTGTCAAGTTACACTATAAATAGATAATTGAATATTATATAGTCAGATTCATTAGAAATAATATCATGATTAATCTGATGTAATGACGATGACATGACATAATATTTAATCGATTAACATGCACTTCTTTAAAACCAAATAATAATTATTCTCCTGATAAAAACCTAGCAATTTACTATGTGATCATTTTTAAATACCAAAAATAAAATTTCTTCTATATTCTTTTCTTCAAATCATTTGCTGTATAAAACTTGTTTTAAATATTTACGTTAACAAAATGAAAATGCATAGCAATACAGACACAAAAAACAACAGCTATTTGAACCCTTTGACAGCTACGTATTTTATTTAAATAATAATCAGCAACCTTTGCATTCGCAACGATTTAGTCTTAAAAGCACTAAGTTATAAATAACTAGCTAAATAAAATAGCTACGATAACTTTGTAAAAAGATCATAATTTAAATAGTAAGTATCTTTAAATAGCTATGGAGCTGTGAAGTTTTAAATAGTCATGGAAGGTTTAAATACCTATGAACGTTTAGGTATGTATGAAGATTGAAATTTTAATACAAAAATTGAAAAGTTTCAAAAAGAAATGGTGTGCATGTTCTTTCACATGGGCACTTTCTTTTATTCCACATTCTATATTATTTTGAAATATAATGTAATAATTTTCATAATAATAAAACGCTTGTGAATAGAAATAATGATATATTTATTGTTGTTAGAACAATTTAAAATTCTTCTGTAACATTTGTAATCACTGTATGTGATCTGTGTGAAATTAACAATTACATAAGAGAAAAAGCTTTATTTTTAATTATTTTTAATTATTTTTTTCTGAATATTTTCTTTAAATTCAATGACATCATTAAAACCGGAATGAAATGATATCATGATAGTTAAAGCATTTTTCATTAAAAAGAAAACCATTTTACTTGAACTATCTGACATAAATGTAAGAAAATACCAACGTATTATTAAAAATGGTAAATCTTGTGTTATTGTTATATAAATAACTGACCACATTGATGTAGAAAAAATTAATTCAAATAAAACTAAACATTTATTTTTCATATTTAATTGAAAAAAATTTTTTCTATGTAAATTTCTTGTTGGTTTTGTTTTCATTTGTAAATTTATACTAAATTGAAATGTTGACATAATAAATATAATAAAAATAGCTGTTTGTAAATTATTTCGATCTTGTAATTTATTTAAATTTTCACCTTGATGAAAATTTCCATAAAACTCTACAATATCAGGCGCAGCAGCTAGATATTGACGTAACATTTGAGCAAAAAAAACTTCATCAGACGTTTCTGTTTGTGGCCATATCCAATTAACAATAACTAATACAAGTAAAAGTAACTGTTCAATAAGCATAAAACCAGCTAATTCATCACTTAATATACCAATTAATGTAAAACGATTAATTAATTCTCTCCAACGTGTACATGAATTTTTCATAAAAGACCGTAGAATATTTATACTTGGGTCAGTTCGACAACGTTTAGATGATTGACATTGACGATATTGTATTTTAGTTAATACTGAACACATTAATTTAAAATTATCTTTATTAAAAAAAATTAATTCATCTTTTGCGCATTTAAACGTATATAACGGAATTTTTTTTTTATTATAACCAATTAATTTTGATTCAAAAGTAATATTGAAACAATATGTTATATTACGTTTAAGTAATATTTCAATATTTGTTTGTTTAAATACTTCACTAACATGTAATTGATGTTGTTTTAATATTTTCAATGTTGGTACACATGTTACAATAAATAAAATAATTGATGGAGAAAACCATTTAAATTCTTTCCATTCACCACGAAATTGATAATAAAGACTTATACTACCTTCAATTGTTATTGCTAATATACCACAACAATATGTTAATACATAATAATTTTGTGTTACACACATTATTGAACACGTCATAAACATAGCAAAACCAATTAAAATTAAACGAACTGATAGACGACGAAGTGTATTACTGTCAAAGAATGAATTGAATTTAGTAGTAGACATCAAAGAACAACCGATTGAACAATGCGCGTTTTTAGATTTTGGTTTTTTTTTTGTTTTTAGAAAATATTAACATTGTTTTTTCTTCTATCATATAGGGTGTGTCAAAAGGTTGGTCGAAATGAAAGAGTGAATATCTCTTTAATTGTTCAAGCGGTTTACGAAAGGTTTTTATAGTTTCATTTCATATTTCGTTGAAGTTGTATTTCACGTAAATTTATCTCTAATATGTGTACAAAATGATTATTTATCAATGCTATGCACAAACTTATTATGTTTGAAAATATCTGTAAAATGTTTTAGATAAAATTTAATTTGAAGTCTTTTAGATCTTCTTATAGTTTTTCAAATGAAATAATGATCATTTCAAAAAAAAAGGCGGTTGGGAATGTTTTGAACAAACTTTAATAGAGACAAGAGAGATCGCTGCAATTTTCACCATTGGCAAAGAAAGTTAAAGCCACATCAAATAATATATTACAGATTCTCCTAGCATGTTTTCTGAAGTTTTTTAAAGAAAACTTATGACAAAAAAGTGTCGAAAGAATGATTCTTTGTAGCATCAGAAAAGAGCAAAAGTGTAATTTTTTTCAAAGAAATTGATTGAAAAACCAAACTAGAATTTCGACTAGAATGCATCTGTGACTGCTGATTAACTAAATCTAAAAAATATGAGGCTCGCATAGTTTTGTAGATCTTCCCTGGGTGGTTCGGATGCACACCTGATAATTGAAAACTCACCATAGTCACCTCATAGGATACGTTGGCTTTCAAAGCAGTTGATTGACAATCTTAATAAAACCAGATCTGTTTAAAGCAAAAGCTATTTAAAACACTCCTATCCACCTTTTTTTTTCAAATCGACATTAGATCTTGAACAGATGTCTTATAAAAACTATTCTCTACAGATTTCTATGAAAAATGTTGAGTCGCGTCATCCCAGTTGATCATAATGCCTATTGAAATGAGCTGCCTCTTCTATTGCACTTGCTTCGAGCAATGTTCTTTAAAAACTAACAGACTTCGCGGATAAAAGGTAAATGAACTCCATCTTTGTAAAATTATACGAAGTTCATCTAGCATAATCTTCTTACGTCTGGACGAAAAAAAGAGCGTAAAGCATACTAAAATAATTTTCTTCGTTGATAATGTTACCGATAAAAAAAAATGGGTCAAACACTCGGTTTTCTAGCGTTACACAAGAAACTTTGCCTTTTCAAGGTTGTACAATCATGTCAATCGGTTCATACGTCTATGATATCTGTTAAAGATCTTGTTATGCTGAAAATGAATACCCACAAGAAAAATAAAAAAAAGATCACGAAATCATCGCAAATGCAAGAAAAAACAATTTTTTTCTAATATAACAGAACATGTTTAGAGTCAAAAATACAATAAAAGAAATTCGTTCACAGACTAGTTCTATCTTAGAAAAAAAAGTATACTTAGAATTTTATAGAAATAGAAAACAAAAGAAAATATTTCAATAATATTTTTTTTGTAAAGTTTTTTTGAAATTTGACGGATAACTCAAGTTTGACACGGTTCAAATATTTACAACACATGTCTACATTCATGCTCTATTGATGACAGCAGCATTAACAGGTGAAATTTATTTTAGGCTATTAGTGGCAAACTCTGGAATAATCCATAGAATTATATTTCACTGAATTACTATAGTTTTCGTTGTGCTTCTTCACTTGTGTGAGAAATTTTCACTGTTCAAGGTTCTTTATTACACATGAATGTTAACAATACTTTTTTTGTCAAATATTTCGTTGTTATGACCTTTTACAATAGTTATGAGCTTTAATCAAGAGCAAGGTTATTTCAGTTCTATATCAAGATGAATATGTTTAGCTTATTTGTACTTATTATTGTGCACAGAATCAGCAGATAGATTTTAATACAGTATCATTGTTTTTTATACATAAAGATTTTTGATTTATTCACTCTAGAAAGAAACAGATTTCAGCATGCTACCTCATTTCTTCTACCAGATAACTTTTTATCATTGCATATAAGTCTTCATTAGTTTTTGCGCAAGAAAAGTGAGTGATTTATAATGCTTTCTGTTTAACGATCATGATAAGAATCGCTCTGGTTTTGAAATATAACTGCTATACGATTGCATCGAGTTAATAGTTGTTATAAAAATAAGGGTGTCGCAAAATCCAAAAAGACGAAAATAAAGAAAGAGAAAGGTTTACCATGAAAAATTTCAAAAGGCTCTAAATGCAATCTTTGATGCGTGACTGATTTCTATGAATTTGGGATTCTTGAGGATCCATTTGATTCTAAATGCAAAATGATTCTGAAACACAATGAATGATTTCTAGAGTGCATATGCACATGACTTATTCTTTATTGGAATAATGTTTTACTCAGAACATTATTAATGTCTACTATTTAAAAATAATAATTGATAAAAAAGTCGCTAATTTCTGAAAAACAAAATTCGAAAATATTCACAAACTATACATCATTCAATGCAGTTTTCTTGCTGGTTTTAAATCTATTGTTACTTATATCTGAAAGGACCACTAAGCTCACAAACAAAGGGTTTTAAACAAGACGGTATCTCAGTTTAGAAGCATGTGTGTAGTTGTTTGCATACATGGTAGAAGCGTCAGACATAGAAGAATTCTCTTTGAAAGCTTCATCAGAATTGCAGCTTCAGAAAAGTTTTGAATGTTACTTTATTGAACGTAGCTTTTTAGATAATTCATTAGTGGAGAAAAATAAGTTATTTTTTTTAATTATAATGAGATCAAACAAATATTGTGTAACGATTCAATAAAGCAGAAGCTCTACTTTCAGAATATGCATATGTGGTTAGTTCATTCTTGTTTGCCGTAAAAAAAAATTCGTTTTTTGATATCACTGAAAAATAACCTTATGTGACAATCAAAGTATTTCCAGTAAACTGAAGAAACGAAATATTATTTTCTTTTTCATTTATTAAATTGATCATCAGCCAATGTGTATAGGCTACCGCTCAAATCTAGAAAAATATTACTTTCATTTTTTCAGAAAATATCTTGTTGATTGCCATGGTGAGAAGCATCATCATATGACGATGTGTCTGTGTGAAATACTGGGAAATAGTTCTAGCTACATCGTATTGGCTGCAGCTTAAATGGGTCTATTCGGGCAGATTTGCTCGAGTCTCAGATAGATTCATACGTGATTTCGAATTCATAGAATTCAGCTAGTATTGGTATAAGAATCTTCGATAGCCTCGTCTGATACCAATGGTTTCGCATTGTTTTTAAGAAAAGGCGATCGTACTCTTCTTACCGAACTATTTCCCTACTCTGATGACAGAAAATGGTTCTATATATGTTTTTGTTAGAAAATGTTTTACCTAAGCAACGGTATCGAATGTTTTTTTTTAATCTTTTTTCGTGCAGATAGCAAGCCAAAATTTACATGCAAAACCATTTGCATGAGCATCATGTCAAAATGTTTCATATAAATTGATTCTCGTAGACGACACACAAAAATGATAATTGACTCGTTAAAATCATTCGCCATTCTATGATTAGAACGATTTTTCCACTCATCCATCCATTATTACCACTGATCATTGGAATAATTGAGAGGCATTCGATTGGAAATCATCATAGCGTAAAGCCTTTAGGTCGAAAGAGCTGCTGCTATTACTCCTATGTTTCCTTCTACTTTGAGCGCTTCTGTAATACACAGTTCAGTTTTGCTTTCTCAAGTTGATTTTATATTGAATGAGGATTATGTTGAACACATACGTATCTGTACACAGTTATAACGGTTCAGTCCTAAAAAATACAGAGGTACGGAACAACACTTAAGCCGACACTGATAAGGAGACAAGTTCAAAATTACAAGTCAAATGGTATACCAGTTAGAAAAGAGACAAAGACATGGATAAAACAGTATAGTTATACAGATGTAAACATGAAAATATACTTATAATGGTATCTGTTTAATGGGATAAGTCTAAAAATATAAGTAATAAGGTATACCTCCCAATGCATAGGTATAAGGATATAAACATCAGAATACACTCAAAGGATACAGGTCTGAGGCAAAAGATTCAAGAGCAATGGACAAAAGAATATGAGAGCATTATGATTTAGTTCTTGGAGATTAAATATAGAAATAAGAGGTTAGGGATAGAAATAAGGATGAAGCATACGTATCAGCGTTGACGTTTAGAAAGAAAGGTATAGCGGTAAGAAGATAAAACTAATGTTATTGATGAAGGAATCACTACGAAACTTTTTTTTACAGCAGTTCAGAGGTAGTCTGATACAAAACCGTTTATCTACGAAATGAATAGAAAAGTTCTGCGTCTATATATACGTGAAGAACCTTTTTTGGTTTCGTTAAAAACCTTTTCTTAGAGTGTGGTTTGATTTCAACCGTACTTTTGTCAAATCTGTTTGCTTTTAAGGACAATCTACCTATTCTGCATCAAATATACATGTCGCATTTCAATTATAAAAAAAAAAAAAGTAAAAAAGAGAAGAAGAAAATTTTTATGTGGCAGAAACACAAAGCAGTGCAGCTGGCTACGTATGTACACAAGAGAAAGGACAATTTTTTTTGACATTTTTGTTTGGTTTTTTTTTCAATGTCTCGAATATTGCAATTATATGGCCGTAAAAGAAACTCTTGTCTAATCGGTGTTTTTCTCGGTATCATCTCTATCATAACTTGTATGCGTTTATTTTCTCAACGACATCTATCATCTTCATTATCAATTGATTATCATTCATATAATAAACACACGATACGTCCTATTATACCTGTGGCTATCATTAGAAATATTACGAAAACGAGTATGACAACTACTATTGATTTTCCTAAAGCACGTTGTCCTGTCAATAAACGTCAATTTACAAGTCCAGCTGTTGAATCACTAATTGAAGAAATACAGAAAAATATCAAAAATAAAGAACTTGCATGGTTATTTGAAAATTGTTTTCCCAATACACTTGATACAACTGTCGACTTTGATGAAAAAGCAGCATCTGAAAAAAAGCCTGATACTTATGTTATTACAGGTGATATTGATGCTATGTGGTTGCGTGATTCAAGTGCTCAAATAAATCTTTACTTACCGTTAATGAATCAAGATAAAAAGCTTCGTCAATTGATTGAAGGTGTTCTCTTAAGACAATGTATATTTATTCAACGTGATCCATATGCGAATGCACATTATAAAGATACAAATCGTATTAGTGAATGGAAACATATGGATAAAACAGAAATGCGTGCGGGTGTACATGAACGAAAATGGGAATTAGATTCTCTTTGTTATGTTTTACGATTGATGCATTCATATTGGAAAGAAGTTAATTATGATTTATCTTTTTTTCGTGAAAATGAACAAGACTTTAAGAAAACTATTCGAATTATTTTACAAACAATGAAAGAACAACAAAGATTTAATGAATCAGGTAATAAGACGAAACATTACCTCTTTTTTTCTTTTCAATTCAAATCTTTTATAAATTACCAAAGCATTTTTGCGAAAAAAAAATTTTATATATATTTTAAACAAGTAAAACGGACACCGATTCTTTTTTTGTCTGAACACTATGAGATAATGTCATGAATGTTGATGTTATAAACATCAATTTTTATTTTTAATTACAACATTGATGTATATTGATGAAGTTTTTCAGTTTTTTCAATAAACAACCATTTTGTTAAAAAAAACATTTAGAGACAGGTTTTCCTATCACGTCATATTTTATCCTCTAAAATTGTAATAAAAAATGGGTTAATTTCGATCATTTATTTATTCATAACTTTTTTTTATAATAGATGCTATATTTATTGAAACTATTATTATTAATTTAAAGAACTTCAATGAAAAATGACTATTCTAATAGGTTAATGATATATTTTAGTAGTCAATATTTGAATTCAAATTAATATAAAATGATGCATTTCTATTGAAAAGAAATAAACAGAAATTTACCAAGTGAAGAGCATTGACAAATACGTGGAAGGAATACATGCTAGAATGTCCTTTCGAAAATGCCCTCGGACGAAATGTCCTTTATTTTTTCGTCCTCTCACATACATATATATGTAAAGACGAAAAAATAAAGGACATTCTAGACTGTTACCAATATTTATTCTTATGTAAAGTAATTATAACAATTCTTTGTACGAAAAACTATAGATTGACATTTAATACCGATTCAAATACTCTTCTCTTCGTAATGTATATTAGTTGTTACGTAACAGAAGAAAGAAAACGTGCGCAAGAAAAGAAAAGAAAGAATAATGGTTTGAGTTAAATACATCAAAAGAAATGAATTGAAGCTTTTGCTATATAATCTTCCACGGGTAACAGTCTAGAATGTCCTTTCGAAAATGTCCTCGGACGAAATGTCCTTTATTTCGTCCTTACATATATATGTATGTGAGAGGACGAAAAAATAAAGGACATTTTCGAAAGGACATTCTAGCATGTATTCTAAATATTAGTCATAAAATAAGTCAATATAACATTTTTACACTGATAATCTATAAAAGAGAACAGTTTTGTTAATCAACTGATAAAATAGAAAATACATCTGTGGTCATCCTTAAGTCTGTTTTTCAAAGTTCGTGCATAGTCTCCCAGGTTTCGGTTTTTTGTAGAAAAAAATTCTTAAAATATACATGATTCAATACAGTTTTTGATGCTAATTACATAAGTACTATCTATTTTGCTTTTCAACTAGACCATAGTAATTAAAATTACTAAATACAAACGTATTTATCATTCATTTGTCTAATATTAACATCAAAATAATTCACACATAGGTGCTATGAGGTATGTTGGAATTATTTCTATTGAACAGGATTTTCTTAAAGCTCATTTCTTCTCAATTTAATCAAACAACACCATTCAACTCAGCTTTTTATGCTGAGTCAGAATACAATCTGCTCATAGAGTTTAAAAAGATAACATAATTGAAATACGATGATTTCTGAAAAAAAAGGGCGAGTTCATAATGGTCAATTGTACATTTTCAGTCATTCAAGTTTTTCATGTTTTTTTTTTCAACCAAACACTGGTCGAATAAAAAAAAACCTATATATTCGTAACTAGTTCGTCAAGCTTCATCAAACCATATATATTAATGAACGAGAAAAACATTCACTTGATTTTTGTATTAGCAACACTTAATTATATTTGGTTTCATTATAAAAAAATTCTTTATATAAATTAAGGTCCATACTCATATCAACGGCAAGGTCATCCTTCAGACCCAAGTGGACAAAAAGCTAAACCTATTGGTTTAATTCATACCTTTTTTCGACCAAGTGATGATCTGCAAACATTTCCTTATCTTATACCATCGCAATTTTTTGCTCATCATACATTAAAACTTTTATTAGAATTTGTAAAAAAATTAGAATGGACAAATGATTTTAATGATGATATATTAAAATTGATTTCTAATTTACATGATATTTTATTTGATGATAAAATAGTAAATAATCAAGAAACACTAATTACATTTAAACATCCGAAATATGGTTTAATTTATTCATATGAGATAGATGGATTTGATAATAGAAATTTAATGGATGATTCAAATATTCCATCACTTCTTTCATTACCTTATTTATGTCCTGATGATATTTCAAGTAAACATCCAATTTATCAAAATACGCGAAAATTTGTACTTAGCTCAGATAATCCATGGTTTTTCAAAGGAAATTTGCTTGAAGGTAATTATTCTCATTTATCTGTGATGATTTGTTCAATATATTTTTTTTCTCAAAAAGGTGTTGGTGGACCACATTGTGGAAAATCGATGGTATGGCCACTTGCAATTATTATGCGTGGTTTAACAACAACTGATGATGATGAAATTCGATTTTGTTTAGAGATGTTACAAAAATCTCATGGCAATACAGGGTTTATGCATGAATCAATAAATGTCAACAATCCAATGCATTATACTCGTTCTTGGTTTGCTTGGGCAAATAGTTTATTTGGTGAATTTATTTGGAAATTATATCGAGAAAAACCTTATCTACTAAATTAAATTTGATAATTTTCATTAGTAATTATATATGATACGTGCATGATACATATGTTTCATAAACAATAGATAACACAAGTATACCGAACAAAAATATTTTTTTCTTTTAAAATTTATTAAAAACCATACATATGTTTATTTCTTTTACAGAAAAAATAGAATTGACTACATATCACCATGTATTTGTTTTAATTATTTTGCAATTTCTTTTTGTCTTTCTATGTCACATAAATGATCTGCACATTGGTAATTATTCAACACTGAAAAATATTGACAATCAATATCAACTGATCATATTTGCGTTTGTTTAATATGAAAGACCTAATTGATTTGTAAGCAATGTATGAGAATTTTATTTGATGAATAAGATCATTCTCAAACATTAAAATTATATATGAAATATGTTTTGCTTGTGTCTTAAAAAAATTTTCATACAGTACTGCATGTAACCAATGAAAGAAAAAATACGGTGTGGTTTGAGTTTTGAATAACAAAGGAAAGAATTCTTTTCTTATCTTACATGGTAGAAGTTACGACAAGTTCTTGACCGTTATCTTTTCGTATGCATTTTCTGGTTTTTTTTTTATTTGATTGATATAATATGTATGTTTGACATAAATATCATAGTCAAAATATAAGCTTGATCCGACTTGAGATCTTATTTGATTCTAAACTAATGAAAGCTGAGCATGTTAAAATCAGACGTTCAAGAACATGAAGAATTTCATCGACATAAATGAGGAAACTGCTTGAACTAATAATAGTTCTTTAGGTTAATATTGGAACCTCAAAGGCATCTTAGTGAGACTAGCAGAGATCTAAAATGGTTTATCTTCAGAAGTCTTTGAAAACAAGTTATCCTTGTTTTACTGAATTTCCGATTCAATTTTAGTTATATACAGAAAGACTAAAAGCGGATATTTTGAAGTGATATTTTGCCTATAGATAGGTTGAATGACTATAGTAGAATATTCTGAAAGTATTACTTCCTTTGATGAAATATTGAACTTTCAAAAAAATCAGCGTTTACTACAGACAAGTCACAAAAATCGAGTTTAGTTAAAATTTCAATATTTCGACAAAGAAAAAGCACTCTATTCTGCTGGAACTTTCAGGGTATTCTATACATCATTAGATCCATGTATGGACAAAACTTTACATCGAAACTCTATGTATTTTCTCGACACATACCTAAAATTGGGTCAAAAATTTTGTAAAAAAATCATAGCTTGACTCCAAAAGCTCATGAGAACAAACGCATATAGATTTCTTCTAGTCTAACTAAACCACAACATTCCTGTTTAACGCCATATAAACTTAAATGGCGAGTATTAGTTTGGTTGGGTTTCTTGCAAGACATTAGGCCATAAGTATTTTTTATAACTATATTTTCTACTGAACCTATGACTAGACGTTCATCACTCTAATTCTAACTTAATGAAAAACAAATCTCTTGTTTTCTTCTTTGTTGGTCAAATTTCAAAACTTCTCTGAACAACTGTTACTTCAATTTCAAAAAAGCATTGCATCAATTCGTAATCATCTGTTATTATGGTCTTTCTTTTTTAAATCCAAAAATTAATACGCTAGAATCATTTTTATGAATATATGCAGATTTATTCGACAATTGTAATAATCACAAAATTTTTGTACTTATATCCATTACTTATCATTGACAATGTATGAGTCATTAACATATAGTATATATAGGAGTCTATGTTGAATTATAATCATACATCTAGAAATAATAAAGGTTGCTCTGATAATTCAGAAGGCAAATAACTTGTTATCGTGTTCTATTTCTGCATTTGACATTGTGTGAAGCCGAAAGAAAAACAAAACATGTCTTTTTTATTACATGTTGAATTTGATGCTAGATCAGAATTGATAGCTACAAAGATGCTCGAAAATTTAGCACGTATGGCTGATATTGTACATCGTGATCATCCCGACGTATATACATATGTCTTTCGATATGTTAATGAAGCAAAAACTAAACTTATATTTACTGAACTCTATGGTAATGAACAAGTATTTCTTGAACATTCACGTGATGCTGAATTTCTTAAGCTTTATCGAGAAGCTTTTAATGTTACAGCAGGTAAAACTCGAAAAGAATTATGTATTAGAAAAGATATTAATAATCCATTGTTACCAATAACTGCAAGTATACTAGATAATTATTTACATGTTACTTATATTTCTCTTCAACAAGGTTTTTTATATCGAAATATAACGGATCAAATACATGAATGTCTTCTTATTGTATGTAAAGGTTGCGATGAACATGTTTATGAACGATTGAATATACTTGTTAAATGTGTCACATGTGTAACATTTGAAGAATCAGATAAGAATAGACAATTAATTGCTGTTATTGTGCAAATTCCTAATGAGAAAATATCCACTAAACATGATAAACCATTAATTGATACAATGGAATTAGTTTGTTCACAAGAAGAAATTATTGAAAAATTCAAAGATATGATTAATGATCATTTTCAAATTCAATCTTTACAGATTCAAACAAATTTTAGTGGCTATATTCATCATAAGTCTTCGTAATGAAGATGATTTTAATTAGGAAAAAAAACTTTGACGTCGATTTTTTTGTATTTAAAAATTTTTCTGCAATATTAACTAAAATGAAACTATATATTAAACATTTTCTTCACTTTTCATTTGATGAAATCCACACCAAGTGGGACATTCATTGTTCACATTCTTTTTTCTTTCATCATCGAAATTTGACGATCGACACTAAAACAATGTATATAGAAAATATTATTTGTGTAATACAATTTTTTGTCAAAACTTACCCAAAGAATCAGATTAAGTCTTCGTCCACTAGTTATAGGTAATGCTCGATGTCGATGATTACCCAGATGAAGACATGCTGTGCCAACTTGATGTTCAAGATAGATCTCTTCATCATCTCTTGGCGGAGTTGTGCTAGTATGAGATGAACACCGTATCCCACCAAAATACAATTGACCACCTGTAAATTCTGTCCCGAGACATATATTTAATGTTACGGCGGCATCATCAACATGAAAATCAAGTTTTCTATCTCTATACATGTATAGAAAGAAGAATAAGATTAGAAACTATAAAAGAATTTTCTTACTTGTCCATAGCATATTCAACAATAAAACCATGATGAGAATCAAGAGGAAGCGTTACATGTTTATAGATAAGTCGAGTTAATGGCTGCATAATATTTGTAACGATATCAGTTAAACATTTTTCAAATCCAAAATGATCAAGAATAACACCATATTTATTCATTGAATTAGGACGATACAATTTTAATCCATTATCAATACACCATTGTTCAAAATATGCTATTTCATTAATTAATGATTGACAAAATATTGTAGGTAGAAAAGAAAAAGTATATACACCTGATGATTGTATCTATTACAAAAGATCTACATATTATCATTATAAATATATTTAAAAAAAAAAGATATACATACTTGTTTGACAATATCAGAATCAATTGAACCACGATTGAGCATAGTTATGAGATTTTCATTGATCGGCCATTGATTGAAATCATATAGTTCAGGTGATTGAGGTTTAAAATGTTGCTGAATAGTGGACAAATATTTTTCCAATAAACGTTGTTCTTCATGTGAATGTTCTCGATGTCGTCGCCAACTAATTAATACATGTTGAACATAAGCATCACGTCGTTCATCTGACCAGTCCGAAGGTAGATGAGATGTGACTTCTTTCAAGAATGATTGTTCTTCTATGTCAACTTCAGTTTTTGACATATTTTATCTTGATAATTTCACTTTGATGAATGAAAATTGAATAAGGAAGTATTTTGCTTCACATCTTGCGTAAAGAAAGAAATGACTGATGAAACTGCATATGTTTCGTTAACCATACTTTGATAAATAAAAAGAGGTCGCTGAAAGATTGTTATTGTATTTACAGTAGCATTTCTAATTCAAGAAGAAAAATGTTAAATATGGTCCATTGGAAAATATGATTAATGAATGTCGGTCTTTTTTGATCGATTGAAAGATTTTACACAATTTTCAGATATTTATTCAATTATCATTTTAAAAAGTCAACGTTTGTCTATTATTGCATTCTGAAAAAGATCCGTCTGTTTGTTGGCATTCATCAATCTAAATTGTAATTTATACTTCATTGTATTATATTTCAAATTTCAACAGCCCACTGAACAATTTTGTAAGACCATGGTTTTGCAATGTAAGAAGTTTCACACTTTCTTTTAAATCTCAATCTGTAAATGTTTTACATATAGATTACATAGAAGAGAGGCAACTGGTATGATATGATCAAGGAAATAAGAGTAGTTTAAACTGCAACTTTTTCGAAAGGATATGCTACATAACAACAACACACGTTTTCCAGATCGAAACAATATGGTGCCGTTTACTCTTTGTAATATCAGTATGCTTCGTAAAATAGAATATTTTCGAATTAAGCTGTGAGAAATTTCAGTTTGGATTTCGATCTTAGCGAAACGAAACCAATACTAACAAGATATATTGAAGTGCAATGTTCGACACAATTTTTATTAAGACCATCAAAAATTTTAAAAAAGTAATGTTTTCTATTTATTCGTACGTTCCATGGGAGTTATTTTCAATTATTGGTGGAACAGCATTACAAATCTTCTGTTAGAGTAATTGGAGACCGATCTGAATGGAGTGCATTATCAATGCTGAAATTTTTCTGTTATAATTAATGAAAGCAAACTAATTAGTGTAGAATCTGAAGGCGTTAATTTCCCTTATCTTCATGGCAAATGGACATGACTTCCTTCGGAAGCTAAGTCACTTTGCAAGTTATGTAAAATCATTACTTGAACGTATTCATGTTAAAACTTGAAACCTATCTAAAAAAAATACTATACCACAAGTCTTAATGCAATCTAAAAATACAGCAGAGGGTTAGACGTGTACGTATGGAACTTTACACATAATCTCAAATTAAGGCTTTTAGCGGAGGTGATTAGAAAAATTTTTGTAGCGTTCTATGTACAACTATTTTTTGTATTAAAGAATATATTATCGTTAAATATTTTATTTTTCAAATTCTATCGGAAATGGATTAAAATCATCAAGTTCTTTTTAAATCATTCCATATTTGAACAGCTGCCTTCTGAATAGCTATTGTTGCTTTTAGCCATTCACTATCGAAAATAGGCACTAAACTGTCTTCTTTTCTGATGAAGCTGGCATCTGATGAATAATAAATCCTATCAAAATGTTCTGGATAATTGGTGCGTAATCACGTCTGAACATGAATTCTTTCATTGAGATCTAAAATTATATTGCCACCATAGCACCAACGACGACTTGATGATTGATCAATTGATTTGTGTATTATTTAAAAACTGTATAGTATCATAAGAAAATAAGAATCTAAATAAATTTCTAAAGCGAGAAAAAAAAAGAAATTTACGATCATAATACTTCAATCAATCAAGAGTTAAGGTCTTAGTCATATAAGGCAAATGTTTGGCTGTACAAAATATTCATGATGTTTGTGTTTGTACTTGTTTTGTTAATAATTTCTGCCTTTTTTTTTCTTTATCTAGAAATAATCAGAATGAGTTAAGATTAGTGTATCTGTATTAATCTATCTGCCGATAAGTAATTCAATAGACTTGAAACGTTATCATACGCTGCATCATATCAATAATCAATTTCTTCAAAAGACTAGTCTAGTCACAACTACAAATTGACTTTATTTAGATGTTAAATGTGACTTATACTGCCATCTTCTATAAGCATTCTACAATTTAAATGCTACACCGTCATTCAACGTTCGAGTAGATGAAAGATGGAAATACTAGATTATATTAATTACAATTAGAAAGAAAACTTTAGCTATTTTTTTATCAGTATGATAGATGCTAACGCAAAGACGTTTAATTTTTGTTTAGATTACATCAAGCAAAAAATCTTGGCTTATACTTTCAAGAGGATTGTTTATATGAGAGTGCATTCAATACAAGTGAATCTTAATTAAAGATTATATTTTAGTCCTTTTTATTCAACCGTTTATTCCTTGCAATGAATCGTGAAGAGTCACTTATGAAATAAATATTACAAAAGAGTATTGGCCTCTTCAGTAGATCAATAGTACACCAGATCGATCAGGTGCGCTTCTCTATATGAAGAATAATTTAGCAATTCCAATTGCCATTGAAGGAAGAGAGGGAGTAACGACATGAAAAATTTTGTTTTCTATCTTCTGTGAGTAACTGATTGGTTTCTCAAAAACACAATCTATTTTGTTAATTTAACAATACATAGAGATTTTTTTTATAACATCTGTTTTTCTCGAAATAAAGGTATGACTATTGTTTGGATCTTCTTTTCCAACACTAACACCCACATCAAAGATCTATATAGCAACCAAAGAGGTTTATATTTTTTGTTTTCATGTCATTATTCCCTAATGGTAATTCCAGTTGCCATTTTATGTTTTATAATATTTTGTACAACTGATTCATGTGAAAATTTTCACATGCATTTTATTCAATAGCAACAATTTTCATTGATATGTATCACACGGCACATCATCAAGGTGTATATATATTTCTAGTGAATGAAAAAGAACAATTAAGAAAAAAAATGTTCTTCGTTTTAATTATTTCATAATCGTCTCTTTGAGAAGTCGTATATCTCAGAGGCAGAATAAGCATACAAAATACTTTTTTTCCACTTGATTACTTAGGAACTTTTCTAGGTGCAACGTGTAAGGAAATTTTTTAGGATCATGCGCTCTACACTTTTTACGATGTTTTGAAAAATACCAATGCCAATTGCTAATGAGAGAGAATAAAGACTTAAACTGTGGAATACTCCTGTAAGAAATGGGAATTAGAAAATAGTGTTTTGAATAGACTTAAACTAATGGTTGAATTAAATTCTTATCTAATGTTCATGATTTATCCATTGCAATCATATTTTGAAAAGATTATTTTCGTCAAGCTTAAATATGTTCGCCACTGTTTTATATTCAAATAGAACAAAGAATTTTTTTTAATATTTCATTATGTAAAACGAAAAAAAACACAAATAAATATTATAGAACATGTATTTTAACCGTCTATTTTTAATAAATCTAAAAGTAATGCTTTCAAATAACGTGCTTCATAGGCAACTGTATTTTTTCCAGCATGCATTGGTTTATTTGTTAATGGAGAAACAAAATTTGCTTTAACATCACGACCCCAAGCTAAAAATAATCATTATTTGAATAGAACAATTAGAAAAAAAAAATATAGAAATTTTTTTACTTTCACAATGACTTAAGAAATGTAACATTTCCATAAGAACTTGATCACGAATAATAACCGAATGACGTGCCATATTTTCAAAAAGCGATAGAAAACAACGTTTTGTATAAAACCATGTATCTGTTCCTAATTTTTTTTGATACGGTTCAAGTGATTTCATGACACGTGATATACCGAATTCATAATTATTTTTCGCACAATAAAGTGTTCTAACAATAAAAAAAAAGAAATTATTTGAAATTTATTTAAAAATATTCGTTGTAGTTTTTACCCAATGACGAGATTAACAATACATAAATGAAAAACTTTTTTTTCGGGCGTTTCAAATGGTAATTTATCTTCTTCACGTTCAATTTTACGCATCAATTCTTCAGCCTTAAAATAAATATATAATATTTATATAATAGAAATACTTTTTGTTTTTCTAAATTCTTACTTCTTCATTTTGACTTGTCATTATATGACTAACACATAAATTAGCCAAAACAATTGGACTAACTGTTAAAAGCTAAAAATAAAAATTTGTTATTTCTGTTTCAAATTCATCAAACGAATATCTTGGTTTTGATAATTATTTTAAACAATCATTTTATATCGTTAATATTAGCTCAAAAGATACTGTCAACAAGTTGTTACTTATCGCCAACTATATCTTTAATATTTTCTTCTAACTAGTATTAAATACATGAAACTCAGCAAAGTGTTCACATTTTTAAATAAAATAATTTAACATTTTCAAGGTAATAAGCGTTATTATTTTGGGAAAACTATTATAAAACCATTGTTTAAATTATTCTAGTGAATGTATTGAATTCAGGGTATCCGTATATTCGATCAATTGTCAACAAGGTACCTTTTCTGATATCTTGTTACCAATATGCCACAGAATTCAGGTTGGATGTTCTACTGAGAATTGTCTCAGTACACGGATCTTAAAAAGGTATCTGATCAATTTTCATCGCAGTCTATGACAAACTTTTCGACAAGTTAGTAGAAAGAATTCTCAGAAGCATTTAAATCATTAAGTATCTAAAGTTTCGTGTGATATACCGGCAGCAGAAAATTCTAAATTCAATATATATATATATACTAGAGTATAGAAAAATTTCGTTCAATATTGAGAAATAATATTATCATTATTCTAGTAATCTCTTCAGCAGATTAATCTACAAATTACATTCAAGTCTTATTTTACGCAATAAATTCAATTTGATTCGATTTATAAGTTTCTAAATAACTAACCATTCATCAGCGTAAACTTTCCTCCTAAGTCGGACAAAACAAGTTCATTAATTTAAAATTTCTTTTAAATTCAAATAAAATCTATTAAGTTCTTTGTAAAGAAAATGTATTATCTCTTACATTATCTTCATGTTTCTTGACAATAGGTTCGTAGAATCCAACTAAAACAAAAAGAAGAACAATTATATTTCTGTATTGTAATCTCAAAAATAAATCTAATAAAAACGTACTTGCTTCTCTATATTTATTATCTTGCATAAAAAGAACATGAGCAACCTAAAGAAAATACAAAACCAAGAATTATTAAATAATAAATAAAAATTCAAATTTTATTAACATTTAATTTCCATATTTCATTATCATTACAAAATTCGACCGATTTTCGAAAGATTTTTTCTACGGCTGCATAATTTTCTTGTAACCAATAAATATTAGCTTGTGCCATTAATACAGGTACATATCTTAATTTAAATAATTAATAAAAATTATGAAAATAAAATTATTAAAAAGTAAATACTTTTCTAAAGTAGCATCGTATTCTTGTACTTTTTTTTTTACTTGTTCATCCTTTTGCGATCGTCGATTTTCTTGTACTTCTTTAACAAGTCGACGCAATTGTTCAATTAATGTTCCAGCTAATTCTTCAAACTTTTTAAATGCAGCTTCGGGTGCTGTTTGTTGAACTATTTTAGCTTCTATAAATTCGTAAATATATGGTTCCATATATTTAAATGTTAGATCTGTATTTTCCGCAAGAAGATCAGCAGCAAAGTCGTAGTACTTCAAAATAATAAATATATTGAATTTAACTGTATACTGATCTATGCATTCAACTGTGGACAAACGTAGTTATCTCCCATAAATTACTACTATTGTTTATGATATTGACCTGATATTTTAGATGCATTTGTGCAACAATAAACTCTGGTCGCTACCTTATTATTACTAGAACCGTTGACACATACTCAAGATCTTAACAATTAGCATGACTGGAGATAGCAAATTTATATCATAGCACTAATTCAACTTCATTTAGTACTGTGACTCTAAGACTTTGGAACAGACTTGTCGACTCATGAGAACTTTCCACTAAAATTTTCAAATGAGTTGGTCAAGTTCATCGTGGAAATGATTCATATTACTTAACAATCAATATTTGCGCTTCAACAGATATTCTTACTGGCAAGACAATATCTCAATTGTTTTAAAGTGATTTCTAATAAAAATCGAATTAGATATAGCTAGGAGATTAGGCTTTTGAATGAAAGATTAGAAATGTTAACCGATCGAGAGATGAGTTAGTGCTTACGATTAAGCTTTATTGTCGTACGCATGTCTCCAAAATATCAGCTCAATGTCATCAAGAATAGTAGTATTGGATGGAAAGGACAGCTATTTTCGTCCAAAACTGTACTTACTTCATATTTAAGATATAAAAGACATAAATTAACAAATGTTTCACGTGGAAATCCTTCACTACTAATTAAAAATGTTAATTTTTCAAAACCACCTGTTGCATCTTCTTCCATATTCATAATAGCAAGATTATGTAATGTTATCATATCAAGTTCATTTACATTTCTAGGAGGCATATCAGTTAAAGCTTCTCGTGCTGCAACATCTTTAAAAAGAAACGCAAATTCTTTTCTTTTAATATATCTTTAGCAACAAAATATACAAACAATTTTTAAGGATAAATTCAATAGCAGCACGTAAATTAAATGCTTCAACAAGAGTTGATTCTTGTAAAGTATTTGTATTGCCAACAGATGTTATATCAATACCTTCTGTTTGCATACCAATACTTAATTCTTAAATTAAAAAAAAAAAGAAAAATTGAACAATAACTAAAAATAACTTTCTTGCTTATTTTACTTTACCAGGATATTCTTTAATTCCTTTTTCAACAATTGCACCCAAATGTTGTACAGCTTGAGCATATTGCTTTAATTCATAATAACAAAGAGCTATATTATACCATACTTCTACAAAAACAAATAAACAACAAAAGATATTATAAAATTTTCAAAAAAAAAATTGATAGTATACTCGGATTATATCCACCAAGTTGTTGTGCTTTAGTGAAATATTTTAAGGCTTCATCGTATTTTCCTTCTTTATATAAAACACAACCTGTATTGACAACTGTATCCGGATCATCATCATTACATTGATCAATATAACTCTAATTAGAAGAAAGATACGTTCTTTTTCAATTTTATTACAATATCAACTTTGTTAATGAGAAAATATGAAATTTATTATATCTTACGGAACATAATATCAGATTTGCTATATGTATAACTAATTATTTTTCTTGATAGATATGAATTAATGAAAAAACTAAAGAGATACAAAAGATGTAACCAACATTGTTTCGTATGAAAATGAAGATGAAACATTGAATAGTTTCGAAATAGATTCTTTTATACTTAAAACATTTTTCACTATATTTCGCTATCTCATTTATGTAAATATTATTTTATATAGTAAATGAAAAAAAAATCACTTTTTATCTTCCAAATTTCATTTGATGCTTGAATTAAATATATTATGAAACGCTGGGATGTTCATACTTTCTCTCTATAGATAGCATATTATTAAATAAACAAATTGTTTGTTCTGCCAACAAAAAACAACAAGGAAGGTATTCAATGGTCCTCGTTATATTTTGATTTTTACCTGACATGATTTGACATCATCCAAAGCATAACAAATAGCGGCTTGTAATTTTCGTACCTAAACGTAAAACAAAATGGTTAACTTGATTTTCTATTTGAATATTAAAAGAACAAACGTTGTTCATCAATGATGGCTGTTCGATTTGATTTAATACTCTAAGAGCTTCTTCATTAAGTCCACATTTATAAAGTGATTGTCCAAAAGCAAATTTATAATCATCAATTTCTGGTGAAATTTGAACAAGTTGTTCATAACAATCAGCAGCTTGTGTAAAATCTTGTGCATGATAATAACAATAAGCAAGTAATGATAATGTTGGACGACACTAAATAGAAAATTGATTTATTTTGAAAATATAGAAAAAATAGCTAATTATCATACACGAGGTTGACTTTGATTTTGAAAACTAAGAACATTGATTGCTTGTTGATATTTTTTATCACGAATCTTTAGTAAAAAAAATATGAATATAATAATAGTTGAAGAATAGAAATAGTTTATTACCAATGAATAGATTTTGGACGTCATATCCATATTAGCACTTTCGAAATCCATGTTTGAAGTTACTTGAAATAGCGTCAAATAATTTTCAATAAAATGTTTTATATATTAATCACCATTATTCCATTACGTGCTGTTGTGCAGCGATGGTAACAAACACTATTTGTTTCTAAGAATTTATATTAATAATAAAATCACGTTAAACTTATTTTTTTATTTGAAAAAATATTTATATTTTACTAAAAATCTTTCTTTTTTCATGCATATATTTGAGTTTAATAATTACATTGAATGTAGCGCTTGGAGAATGATTGTATTGAGTAACAAACCAATGAAGTACGATTGTCCTATTATCAGTAGTTCAGTCAGTTGGTTCGTCCAGAAAAATATGTGACTCCTTTAAGTTATAAAACTTAGACTTTCGGATTTCAGATTTTTGTTCATCATGATTACAAATATTAACAGATCTCCAGAGACTGATGATAATATAACTGCTCGTCTTATTCAAAGACCATCAAAATATCGATACACATTTTATCATCTGAGTACATTCATGTTGACATTTATTAGGTAAAAAAAAAGACCTTAAAAAAAAATTAGAAATTTAAAAACAAACATTATTTAATGTAGCTATGCTATGTTACATGCTGCAAGAAAAGTATTTTCTAATGTTAAATCAACTATGGCTGAAGAATGGAGTCCAGTAGCAAATCAAACAATCAATCCAATAAAACCGGATGATGTAAACAAAAATAAATTTTAGTATTTAAAAAAAATAGAGACAATTTAAATTTAGATTTGGAATCAAAAACGTCTTTTTGCTTCACCTGAAAATGCCACAATTTTCTTGGGTGTATTAGATGCTGTGTTTATGTTTTCTTATGCTACTGTACGATAATATGAATTAGAGATAAACTTTAATCATACAGTTTTGATAATTCTTTTCAGGGTCTATTCGTAAGTGGCATTATTGGTGATCGGTAAGATCAAATGTTTATATTAAAATAAAGTGCTAAACTTTCTTGCTTGCTCAGATTTGATCTTCGAATTGTTCTTTGTGTTGGAATGATTGTTACTGCGGTTGTGGTATGATCATTTTTGTATCAAAAAAAAAAAAGTTTAACTAGATTAATATGTTTCTATTGTTAGATTTTCCTATTTGGTGTACTGAGCGAATGGTTACATATATATTCAATTGCTTGGTATATTTGTTTTTGGATTCTTAATGGTTTAGCTCAATCGACTGGTTGGCCATGTGCAGTTGCCATTATGGGAAATTGGTTTGGAAAGGAAGGGTAAGAAAAAAAAATCCAAAATTATTCTTTTCTTGTCTTATTCTTAATATATCTTTTTTAGTCGTGGTTTTATTTTTGGTATTTGGAGTGCATGCGCCTCAGTTGGTAATATATTCGGTGCAACATTAGCCGCTACTTTTCTTACATATGGTTATGAATATCCGTTTCTTGTTTGTGCTGTTTTATTAGCTTGTTGTGCTATTATATGTTTTTTTGCTATTATTCCGTCACCAGCAGATGTTGGTATGTTACAAAAAAAGATTTTTTTATTTTAGTTTTTAAAACATAATTTTCATAGGTATGGCAGCTACACATGTTAATGTATCAGGTGAAGGTAAGAAAATCAATATTGAAGCATATATATATATATATGACATCTTTTTAAGAGAAAAATATTGTTCGAATAATTTAACTGAAAAAATCATTCATATTATAGGACTTGTTTCTTTTAATGTGTTTAAATTTATACTATTTCACATAAAATAAAATATATTCTTCATCATTTAGAAACAACAACTACAGTCAATGATCGTGAGACAGGTGAAGAAACAGAAATAATTGTAAAACCGCCAGATTCAACAGCAAATAAACCAATAACATTTTTTCAAGCATGGCTTTTACCTGGTGTAGCTATGGTAAATTAAATCCGAAATGATTAGTGTAGTTTTTCTAAACTAGAAATCTAATATTTTAATTTAGTATTCATTATGCTATGCTTGTCTTAAATTAGTTAATTGTAAGTTAATTGAAAACGAAATTAAATATTTAAAATCAATTTTCTATACATAATAGATTCGTTCTTTTTTTGGCTTCCATTTTATTTACATGCTAAATTTCGTTGGCAAGAATCTGATGCTGATTTACTTTCAACATTATATGATGTTGGTGGAATTATAGGTGGAATTGTTGGTGGTCTTATCTCTGTAAGTTGTATGAAAAATTATTTTGAACATAGCAAAAAAAAAAACTATTAATAGGATCTTGTTGGTCTTCGATCAATTGTTGTCGTTCCGGCATTGCTTATTGCTATTCCAATGTTATTTATTTTTAGCAGTTAGTGATAATTATGTTTGATTAAATCAGTTGTTATTGTTTGTTTTGTTATAATATTTAGGTTTAGCTAATAATAAAGCAATAAATGGATTTGTAATGGCTGTGACTGGTGTATTTATTGGTGGTCCAGCTAATATGATTAGTGCTGCCATAACGGCTGATCTTGGACGACAAGAAGTATTAGCTGCCAATGATCAAGCTTTATCAACAGTAACTGGTATTGTTGATGGAACAGGAAGTTTTGGAGCGGCTATTGGGCAAGTATTAATTCCAGTTATTGAAAAACGTTGGCACGATTGGCGATTCGTTTTCTATTTTTTTGTTCTTATGGTAAGTATTGAGTTGATTTTTGAGTGAAGAAAATTATGTCTTCATATTTTTTTTTTTCTAATTTTAAGACATTTGTTACCTGTTGTTGTGTTTTACCATTGTTTATTCGTGAATGTAAACTAGTCATAAACAAAATTAAAACTCGATATTCAGCTAATCGTCAACAAAATTATGATACGATATAATAAACGAAATCCAGATTATTCCAGAAAGCAATTTAATTAATATATTTATGGTGCAATATTTCTTTTTCTTTTTTGGTATGCTGTATTTTTACGTGATACTTTGTGTGTGACTGTTACTTTCGCAAAATTATGTTTTTTTTGGTGATAAATGCAGAATTGACACGAATAAAGAAATTAATATATGATTAAGACATCAGATATTTTGTTTAATAACACTATAACTCAAAAATAATTTTAAAATGGATCAAATCATCGAAAGATAAAAAAATATGTAGAATACATGATATAATAAAAAGAAAAAAGATGAAAGAAAATAATCAGTCTTTAATATGTTATTCAACAACTAGATCTTATCTAGAGCTAGTGTGAATTGCTATTCTACAAATATTAATTCTTGTAGTTATTCTCAAACATTTATTTCATTCATCACAAATGCAATAGCCAATATTTTTGATACATTTATTTTGAATTTGAATATATAAAATGAACTTAATGAGCCAGAAATATTCGTTTTTATTTATTCAATTAAATAATACACTAACAGACAAGTTCTTTTTATATTAAGAATTATCAACTGGGATTCATTCTTCAGATGTTAGATCAAATTTGATTATCGGCTTTTTGTTTGACAAATTGGCATTCTAAAAGATTGTCTCGACCAAAGGACTGTTTGTATGAAATAATACTTTGAAGAATTAATTAATTCTTTTAAAAAAACACTAATGCAAATATCTTAACAACATAAAACATAACAAATGCCTCTATACACAAAATACACACAATGGTTTCAATTAGAAATCAGATAGAATTTACCGAGATATTTTTGTATTCTGTTATTGATGCTGTCTGAATACTTTAAGAAAAAAAAAAGAACATGTGCTGGAACAAACATAGAAGAAAAGAAGCTTAATATTATCAAGCAGTTGGCAAAGTTTATCATCTTTTTTAGTCAAGGATTCGCAACGTAGAATCATTTTAATACCTTTCATCGTAGTCAACGAGTATTGATCCAGTTATATTGTAATAGTAGTTGAATGATAAAAAGTATTGAATGTACTTGTATGAACAGATGAACTCATCGATCTATATTTTTCACAATCACATTAATATAAGAATGAGTTTCTGTTTTTCTTTTTCAATATACATGAAAAAAAACTTCTCGCGTCACACGGAAGAAAGAACAAAACAAGCGAAGAATATTACTAAAAATGAATTAATAATTTTTGATTTGATTCAAATTAATACATGTCTGAAATTGCCTATTCACGTCAAAAAGTTGTGCAATGTCTTTGGATTTTGAAAATATAGACAATCATAAATACAGGTATCTATAGATCACTAAAAAAATGTCATCACACCTGGTGTTGTTATATTTGCTATAGATAACTGATATTTACATACTTTTCTTCTTTTTAGTTATTCGCTCTTCACTATAAGGAAAGATGGCGTATAAAATAGCCATGACAATCAGTCAATATTTGGTAACAGGATCAGGGTAAGATTTATTAGTATTGCGCAGTATGTTATATATTTCACTCAAAATTCAGTATTATTCATAGTTTTTTTTCCAACAGATTTCACGATACCTATGAGTGGTGGTTGTATGGATCTACGCAAACGTTGGTATGATCTTGTTGGCAAATCTGAAAAAGAAGCAGTTGAAACAATTAAACAAGATGGTAAGAAGAACATTGATATAAAATAAAAAAAAACATATGAACTTCTATTTTGTTGAAAAAATAGGTGAACAAAATATTGAAGTAGTCGATGATGGCACACCAGAAGCTGAAGCAACAATCAAAAGTGGTTTTGTACGTGTCATTTTAGATGCAAATAAAAATGTTAAATATCCACCACTTCGACAAAATTGAACACAAAAAGAAATCTATGCTTCTACATTATATTATTGTGTTTGAAATGCATATATGAACATTAACAATCAGTTTTTTATAATCAGTTTTTTTCGATATCTCTGTAGAATTTTCTCGTTGAATTAAATAATAAGAATGAGTATGGATATTTTTAAAAATACAGAACTTAATAAAAGGATCTATCAAAAACAAATACTTATAAAAGTATAAAATTTGTTGCTTGAACTTTTCGAAAATATTTTCTTGATCTTATACATATCGTTTTTTTTAAGCCGTTCTTTATTTTATATTAAATTTGATATTCATCCTATATTTGAATAGTGTTCATCATATAAAACTATGGTATCTATGCCATGATATTGGTTGAATATAATACGATTGTTAAACTAATCGTATTCAATAGATAGTACAAAGGAACTTTTAAAAACAATTTTGTTATTTTGTTTCTTATATACTATCCATGCATACAAAACTGTGAAATTTAAGTTTAGTCAACTTAATTTATTATAAGTACATTTATAAGTTTATCGAATATTAAATAAGATAAATGAAAGATTCTTTAATTGATCTTTTTGGTGCTTTTCAAAAAGTAGAAATGACAGAAAAAACAATGCAAAAAAAAAAGTTATGTATATCAACGCAACACCTGAAATCTATAGACATGTTATTACTTGTAGGTTGTATTAAAATAATTTTTCATCAATAATTCATACTACATGTCAAACTAATAAAGAAGCATCCAATTTTTCATAATTCAATTTTGTATTAGTCTTCAATATTTATTTAATTGAAACCTTTTAGTTAAATTTCCAAGGCATTATTTGTATGTATAAAACATTATTGCAATTGAATTTATTAATTTTAAACTTTGATGAAAATTGAAATGATTTGCAATTTGATCTGTTAATAAATTCATTTTTGCGTTGTTTTTCGCGATATTTTTGTTTTCTAGAAGATAAATATTCAAATAACTATGCTCAATATCGTATTAGACATGATATATTAAATAACTCAATGTATGCATTCAAATTGAAATTAAATATTAGAATAAAATATTTGTTGGCTAAACTGTGCCAACAATACATTACTTCTAATATGTCTAAATGCGACCGATATCGAATGTGATGCAGAATCGATTAAATATTTCTATTGAAAACGATATAGCTTATGCCGTATATTTTTACGTAAAGATATTATGGATATTTTTGTCACTTTTTTAAATTCTGGATATGTACTTTAATGACTATAGTGTTGTTTTTCATTGTGCTTTTTGATTGTTGCTTTTTAACCATTTTCTGCTCATTCCATCATGTACATTAATTTTTATTTATTATAGACTTATGTGAACCTAGTATTGTCTTCAACATTAATGTTGTTGTTATTACCTTCAAAATGCGGCAAAAATAATATGACCTTGAATAATCCTATGAAATTGATTTTCAGCTTATTTAATAACCTTGTAAAAAAATAATCTCATGCATTCTTAACTATCTTATATCACTAGAAGGATATAAAGCCTTTTTTAAAATTTATTAATCTCGTCTACATTTACTCGTTAAACGATGAATAGAATATACACTAGAAAAAAAAAATTGATGACTTGATCATCGTGATATTCAATTTTACATATAATAAGCTTGAAGTCAACAATCACATCATAATCTAGATGTACAAATAATTTAGAATGAGCAACTACATTGGTATGATTTTGCTTAATATCGATTATCTATAAATGATGAACATATATGAACAATTATCATTCATTATTCAATATATATCTAAATTCATTTTTGTATCATGCAAAATGTCAATCGACCAAAATTCAATAGTGTATAGAAAAAAATATTAAGCTGAAAATCATTGAATGATATTCCATAAAATTATTCTCAGTATGTATAAAATACTTTTTAATGTTTATAGAACATTAACAAAAATATAAATATTATTATCTTATGCTTACATTTGATATTCAATAGACAAAAATATAAGCAATTTTATATAATACAGGTAATTATCTTTTTAAATGGTTACTACTTTTGACATTTGAATGCCTTCATGTGTTTTTATTTTCAGTAAGACTAACATGCATATTACTTCTTTTTCTTAAAAATAAAAACCAAAAACTAATTTTAATTCATTAATGTCCAATCATATGGATGTTCTGGCTTATTTTTTAAGGCTTGTTCTATTTCTTCCATAATATCAGGTGTTAATTTTGAAATAAATGTTAATGCTTTGAAATTTTCTGTCACTTGACTTGAACGACTTGCACCAGTAATAACTGTGCTTACATTAGAATTTTTAGCTGCCCAAGCAAGAGCCAGTTGTGCTAATGTTGCACCTAATTTTTCAGCAATTGGTCGTAAATTTTCAACTGTTTCCATAATACGATCAACATTTTTTTCTTCAAGACCATTTAGACCTTGACCAGATTCAAGTTGTTCTCGAAGCCATGATAAATTTCCCTTAAGACCTAAACGATTATCACCACTCTCAAAATGTTTATTGCTATATTTTCCAGTCAAAAGACCCGATGCTAATGGTGACCATATAGTTGTACCATAACTAATTGGAGGTTTATAAAGGCGTGCATATTCAACTTCAAATCGAGTACGATGGAACATATTGTCTACGAAGAAAACAAAAAGAATTATATCATTAATATTTAAATATTTATTTACATTGTGGTTGTTCAGCACATGGTCCAATTAAATTAAGTTTGTCAGCTACTTCCCAGGCTTCTCGAATTTCTTCAGCCGACCATTCTGATGTTCCCCAATAGAAAGCATAACCTTGATCAATGATCCAATTAAATGCTCGAACAATTTCATCCATTGGTGTATGTGAATCAGGACGATGTGCAAAAACAATATCAACATAGTCAAGACCTAATCGTTCTAAACTTCCTCGTATGCCTTCAATAATTCGTTTACGTGATAAACCTTTTAAATTTGCTTTATTAACTTGATCATGATAATATGGTGTACCCCAGAAAATTTTTGTTGAAATAACTAAATCACTTCGTTGAATACTATCTTGTTCGAACATTCTCTTAAGTACTTGACCCATAGTTGTTTCAGCTCGACCAGAAGCATATACTTCGGCATTATCAAAAAAATTACAACCATTATCATAAGCAATTTTCATACAATTATATGCTTCAGCTGCATCAATTTGTTCACCAAATGTTACCTTTATAAATAGTTCATAGAACAGAAAATTTTCTTATTATTTTTTTACAAACTTACCCATGCTCCAAAAGATAACAAACTAACTTTAAGACCCGTTCGACCCAAGTATCTATATTCCATCAGTTCTTTAGAACTTTTATTTGTAGCTGACATAATTAAAATTAAAAAGTCTAAAAGCACGAAAATAAAACACAAGTGAAAAGCATTTTATCAAAACATTTCTTTTTATTCTTTTATTTTTCTTGATCTAAAGTATATCGAAGCATTCTCTGCATAATTTTTGCCCTTACATTATTTATTACGACCTTTTCTTTTTCTCTTATCTTGTTCTACCATACCATCCAAACAAATAGGTAGAGTCTTGTTGTTAGATGATATGTAGAGGTAAATAAATGTTATCAACATATAAGGTGTAATTTTCATTGCATAGGAGATAAATCGATAATTATGATTCAACAAAAAAAAAGCGATTAGCAATGACGACACGTTATGTAACATGACTACCTACAAAAAAAATGTAATCGTCTTCAGTATCTGTAGACATCTATTGGTTGTATTCGACTCAGTAATCTTTCAAAGTGCGATTCATGAATGACTTTATCGAAATGTCAAAGAAAGATCTGTACGCAATTTTTATTATTTAAAAAACGACAAGTATATATGTTTTTTATTTCTACTCTTAGACATCCCAGTGATTAGCCTTTTTTTATTCAATATTAATTAACCGTTAGGTGATCGGTGACGCATATATGCGTCATAAGTTTTCTCATCACGTGAAACTAATGTAATCACTTATAATACATATTTCTTCAATACATTTGCATAAAGACAAACGTCAAACAGAAGAAGCTTTCAACATTATCATTTTCTTACGGCTCATGTTAGACTCCTGCATTAAGAAAAGAAAATGTACGCCGTGGCAAGCCAGTCTATTTTGCGTTTGTGTATTTTTGGTCGGTACCCAAAAGGTTAAATCACTCTGCTACTAAATGACCTTACGTCACGTCTTTGAAATATTACTTCTAATTTTATTTTTGACACATTTCTATGATAGCAAAATAAATAACAAAATTAATGAAAGAGAAAAGTGTATCGAATTTCAATTTATTAAAAACCCGTTTTTTTTGTAGAAGCACATCAATAATCGAACAAAAACTAATTTATTTTCTTATTAATCAGTATCGATTGAAATAAAACGTTTGTTGAAATTGATTGCTTATTTTCAGTGTTTCATATTTTACTATAATACAGAAGCAATATTTCATATAGTAATCAGTATTCTATGAATTATTTCTTATTTCACACATATCTTTTTATTACACTTTGAATTAGACATTTAAAGAAATTGAATCGAACATAGTTTGTTCGTCACTTGTTGAAAGAAAAGTATACTTTTATTTTCTATTTTCAGAAGTACTATTAGAAGATCATCGACCTTTCTTAATTTGTAAAAATGACAACTTCCAGAAGTTTCTGACAAGAGTTATGCCGACACAAATATGCAAGCATGGCTAAGTATAGAAAACCAAGATTAACTGCTAAATTTAGATTTTTCTCATAAAAGTGTCGTATGTTTAATAATACAATATTACATATCATTGATAGATGATTTTTTTCTCTGTTGATTGTACTTTATCGACTATGAGGTGTCAGACGAGGCTTCATCAATTTATTTAAGGTAGCAATGAAATTAAGAAATCTAAATACGTCTCTTCATTTATGTATTTATCCTTTTCTCTACAGGAAAAAACGTTGAAAGTACAAAGATTAGAAGAAAATATCAATTTATCTAGACATATGTTACTTAAT